ATAGGTTTCCTATTTTTGAAACTTCCGCCACCGCCTTGTGCGGTACTACTGGTAATACTATCATCATTATCATTATCAAAATTATTGGTACTACAAGTGTCATTATGATAGGACTATCATTGTTGTTGTCATGAACAAGACTGTATATAGATTATGATAATCCTAGTTATCACATGTTCAACGTTATGATAGGCAACATCTATATAATTCACGGTCAGTAGATATTAGGATGATCATTATTAGGATTATATAACTATATATATATAATTATTTATATAATATCATTAGCTAGTCTAGCACTATATAATACTATATAAATGGCACTTTTGTCTGGTAATTTAACAGTTTGCTATTGAACATGGCCATAGAAATAGTTGATTTACATATTAAAAAATGGTGGTTTTCCATAGCTATGTAAACGTTTACCAGAGGGGTATTTATCTTCCTTGTGCTTAGTGGGAAATTCTCGGGAATGATCCACAATAACTATCAATAAGAATCCCAGCAACCCCCAGCAACCCGTCCATTCCCTACGTTTAGCACTAGTAAGTTACATTATGACTCTTAAGTCACTGGTAAACGTTTATATAGCTATTAAAAAAAAAATAACACCCATTTTATTAATAGGATTTAATAGGTAAATCAACAATAAAATCTATTTCTATCTTCCATATTATTTATAGTTGATTACCTATTGATTTCCATATTATTTCTATGTTGGCTGTTTCTATAAATATGTAAAATGCTATTATTTCTGTTTCTATTGATTTCCAACTATTAGTCATCTTGCATCCACTTAAGCGTATTACGGTATTACAAAAAAAATTGGGGCTTTGGAGATATTTTCTCGTTTTGGTTTTTCATAATTAAGTTATTTTCAGAACTCGTCGCTTTGTACTTTCAGACTTTGTTACAAAAACCTTCATGACTTTTAAAACCATGCCACATGCGTTCTACTAGAATTCTCAACTCAATTTTCCTTAGTTGTGGTATATGACACATTTTTCTTCTGACACACTTATTGTGGGACAGCTTTTCTGTTCTCTGCCTGGCGACGTCCACAGAAGGAAATTTCTCGTATAGACGCCCTGCTAGATATTTTAACAAGTGTCATGGTTATTTTCTTTTCTCGTTTTCTTTTGGCTCAATGGTTAAGATGCGCCGCTCCATTGTGGCTGTTTCGGCCGCGGTGCTGGCTGGCTCGGCCATTTTAGTGGCTGCTTCGGCCACGGTAGCAATGTCAAGCTTGGAAACCGGGGCCAAATTCAGATGGCGTAGTTCGAGCAAAAAATGGTGTAACATGTTCCTCGTCTCAGATGGCCAGCCAGAGCTAGGGTCATGGTTGGATGTGAAGCAGCAACCTTGGGGTGTTGATTGTAAAGTGTGCAAGGAAACTGGGGTTTCCAATCCTTTCGCTTCTTATTCAATGACCAAGAAGGGCCAACTGCAGAACTGCAATTTGATGAAGCACCATAAAAGCAAGGCGCACAAGGCAGCGGTGAAGGAATGGTTGAAGGAAGGGGGCTGTGTTGGTCCTAGTCCCGATGCAGCCCTGTCATTGAGTCAGTTTCAAGAGCTGATGGAGTGCTTTGGCGAGAAAAGATCATTGACGCAAAAAGAGCTGCAAATGGCATGGTGTTTGGCAGAGGGGTTAAAAGCTTTGGACCAAACGTTCATTGCGAAATCTTCTCACATTTCTTTGATGCGGGATGAGCGGCATGGGCGGTTGGCCATACGATTCATGGCTGTGGCCCCAGACTTGACAACTCGAAGTGGCTTTTTAGGCCAAGCAAGGCAAGCTGGAACAGGAGCTGCCAATGTCTCCTTAGCCACATGGGCAGTCATGAAGCGTGCTTGCTCTAGATTTTATATGGCTCCTCTTAGTCAGAATCCTGGGCGTTTGAAGAAAAATCTTTGTAAACACCTGCGGTCAAGAGTTGTGGCACTCGCTGCTGATGCAGCAGCAGATGAAATGGCAAGCTGTGAAATATTAAGGTCAGCACACTTGAGTTTGAATACAGAAGACAACCAGCCAATGCTGCCAAACTTGAGGTCAGAAGTGGACAATCGATTGAGGGTTGGACACTTCTCAGGAGCCACCTGGGTATTTCAACTCACCCAAGCTGCTGCGGCCGAGGCTTGAGATTACGGGCGTAGTCAGGCTGCTTCGGCCTGCTCGTTGCCAGGCTGCTTCGGCCTGCCCGAAACTTTTTTTTGAAAAAAGTGGTTGCTTCAGGCTTCAGCCACAGAAGCTTGGCTGCTTCGGCCAAATCGCCTGGCTGTTTCGGCCAGCAAGGGTTTCGAGAAGACAGACTGTCTCTTAGAAAATAGTGGCTGCTGTGGCCTTCTTGGGACCAGGTTGTGGAAGAGACTTTGAAACCACCAAAGAGTATTTGAATCCAAAAAGGGGAAAATATGTAACATGTTTACTGTTTACTATTCAAATGTCCTTTAACCTGGTAAGGGGAATATTTTCTTTTTTATGTCATAAGGGATTTTGACATATGTTTTAAAATCATCTTAAGAATTACAGGGATGTAACCTCTTAAGACTATAAGACCCTAATTCGGGGACATCCCCTAACCTCCTAAGCCTCTAATTCGGGGACGTCCCCTAACCTCCTAAGGGGTAATTCGGGGACATCCCTTAACCTCCTAAGACTCTAATTCGGGGACGTCCCCTAACCTCCTAAGGGATATAATCAAAAACCCTATCCTAAGGAGAGGGCGATTTGCCCTCTCCAACCGAAGGTCGGGGACGTCCCCTAGCTGTGTAAGGAGAGGACGAATAGAGGACGAATGTGTAATACTACTAAGTGTTTCGGTTTTACAAGCTGTTGTCCTCTGTTTGTCCTCTCCAACCGAGCATCGGGGACGTCCCCTACCTGTGTAAGGAGAGGACGAAATGACCTCTCCTTACACAGAATGTTTAACCAAAAACCTGCTGTGTAAGGAGAGGTCGTCACAGGTCGTCATGTTGCCTGAGCTTGGCTGTTTCGGCCACCCTGGCTGCCTTGGGCCTTCGTCAGTGAGCTGTGTAAGAAGAGGGCTGTGAGAGGACTATTGAATAAAATTCCTTAGGGCAAAACAACCTTTTTCGAATAGTCCTCTCACAGCCCTCTCCTTACACACTTCGCTGCTGTCAGTCTAAGGAGAGAACTGTTAGCCCCCTCCTTAGAAGCCTCACTCAAGTCGTTTCTCGTTGTTTTCGGCTCACAAGCTTTTCCGTGTGTAAAAGCTGTTCCGGCTTAAACCGTGAAACGTTCCAGGCTGCCTCGGCCTGCAATCACAGGCTGTTTCGGCCTGGAATATAACTTATAACCTCACAGACTGGTTCGGTCTTGGAGCCAGTTTGCTACCACAGTCCACCCTATGAGCTCTGCGACGAGTTGATCCACGACTTTTTCGCGAAGATCATTATCGATCTGACACCTCTGGACGGCCGCATGGCTTGGGCAGCCTTGCGAAATCGGGTATAGGGTATGTAGGAGTTGCCTTCAACCCGGAGCACCACCGGCTGCTTGCATTGCTTGAAAAAGAAATGACAAACCCTGAGTCCAGCTTGTTTTCGTCAGCTTACAGTGAAGCCGTCGGTGGCAGTGGGCATGCACCTGTGAATCAGACCGCAAAACCAAAGGCAAAGGTAAACGCAAAGGCCAAAGGCAAGGGAAAGGCCAAACCAAAGGCTAAGGCAAAAGCCAAAGCCAAGCAAACAAAGGATGAGCAGGAGGAAGGCGAAGAGGAAAACGACGAAGATGAAGAAGACGACGTCTGGGATCCTTTGGGAGACGACGACGATGACGACGAAGAGGACAATGGAGACAAGTGATGTGGCTGCCTCGGCCATAGACGAGACGACGTGGCTGCATCGGCCATACCACGGTTGCATCGGCCGTGTGGCTGCCCCGGCCATAGGCGACGATGTGGCTGCGACATAGGCACTTCGGACCTATAGGCAGTGCTGATTGTGCCTTCCATGCGGGATCGAAAAAAAAGCTGCTTTTAATTTCCCACAAACATGACAGGTTGAAAGGTAAAAGTGTCGACTCTCTTAGGGGGATGTCCTGTTGTCAGTCGGTTTGTCTCATGTTTGCTGTACATGTTCTGAAACATAATCATTTGCGGTTTCTCGCACATTTAGGCTCTAGGCTTAAACTACATATGACCGTTTCCGTTTCCATGCTGATGATGATGCCGCCGCCCGAACTTCCACGATGACGTGGCAACCCCAGTGTAGTCACTAAGCCTGATGCCAAAGTCATCCAAAGGGATCTTCTCAAAAGGTTCCATGTGGAAAAGCTGTACCAGAAGTACAGGCTGCTTCAAACCAGCACATGGCCATCGGAAAGCAAGCTTGCTTCCACTATGCGGATCGAAATTGTGAGAAGAAAAGGGGTTAAGTGGATGAATGAAAAAGAAAAAAACAAAGTGATGAGAAGTAGCATTTTGACTGCATCGGCCAAGCTATGGCTGCTTCGGCCAAGCTATGGCTGCTTCGGCCAAGCTATGGCTGCTTCAGCACATGGCTGCTTCAGCCTATTCGAGTCTAATTCATATGATTTCAAAATCTATGGGAACCCATCTTTAATTCACCTGTTTGTGGCTTGCACAAACCAAACTTGCTGTAGATATTTGGAATCCTCGTTTGCCCAAGAGAAAAAATGCGTGGACCGATGATTGAAGCTATTTTCTTGTTGTTGGAAGACATGACATTGTCACTGCCGGCACACACATGCATTAAAATTTGAGCACACGCAATCTGATATTTCACCCATGGAGACATTAGCACTCCTTTTGGTTAGATTTATATGCTTCCTTCTCCTTCATTCCTTTTACAAACACTTTTTTAAAAGAAACTGTCTACTCCACTTTTTTATTTTTATTTCTCGTTTCAGTAACTTTCTCGTGTAAGTAACTTTCTCGTGTAAGGGCAATTTTTTTTTGTAATACCGTAATGCCGCTAAGTGGATGCAAGTCATTACCAGGCGCCAGCCTTTCACCTCATGGTGGCGACGGCATAACCTTCGTGGCTCCAGGCCATCCTCGGCACATGGCATAACCAAAACCCCGGCCCGACCCCCCGTTGTGGCATGACCCAAAAAAAAATTGGCCAAGGGGGTTAATTCATGGTTTAACATTAAATGGTGTTTTTTTGCATGGTCTAACATGGTCACATGGTTTAACTCTATGAGATTCATGGGAATTTAAGATGATTAAACTAGGACACTTGGGGACATAATGGGATATACAAACAAACATATGATCTTTGGGGGGTGTCTGAAAATGGGAAATAACATGATATATATATATATATACATATCCAAATTTCAATAGGGAAAAACAACATCATGATTCACCACTTGATTTAGAGGTATCCAATGGTCAAACAAACCCCAATTATGATAAACCATGGGATAAACCATGAGATGAACCGTGGTACCCAGTTTGCAAAGTTGGGTTAGTTCGATAGAAGTATAGTTCTTGGTGTTTACAGACTATAACTAGAGGGCCCCGCATTGCAATAATAATTGATAGAATTCTTGGATATCATGGGATATTGCAATGGGGGTGTTGATAATTACTATTTTTATATAAATAAAACAAAAACTATACACAGTTAACCAGCATTCATGGAGGTATAACCAGCAATAATGGGCGCATATATATATATATATATACATGCATATATATATATATGCATATATATATAATATGTTATATTATCTATATAATATATGTTATATTATATAATATATATATATATTATGTATATATATATACATTTCACCCGAAAATAGAACATATCAATAGCCCTAGATATTATGTGGGAGCCAAGATCATGACGATGAAGAGAACAGATACTTCACCAGGATTTTGTGCGGGGCGTATCTGATATTGCGGGCACTGCACTGAAGTGTTTATTTTCTTCTGGTAAGATAATTGTTACGTGTCTTCCACATTTGCTCTAGTAAAAACAAACTGGTTGTTTTCAAAAAAACAGGTACATCTTAACAGTTTGTTTTCAAAAAACATATGTACAGTTGTTATGACCCAGAAAGTTTGTTTCTTCCACATGTTGAAAACATCTTTGCTGACAGTTGTGTCCAGGCTGGAACCTGGCAGGGATGATTAACCGATATGTCAAAAGATTGGTTTCACATGAATTTAGAGGAACATTTAGAGGAAACCATAGTCTTTCCCATGATTTATGGATATTTATGGTACTTTCCTGCAAATGTTCCCTTCAACTCAATTCCGAGAACATCTTGGAGGGCAACTTCATGTTCTTGGTCTCATGCTCGCACCTTCCCTGAAGCCATTGGGGGGTGTTTTCGTGGAAGCGCAATCCAGCTGTCACCACCATGAGGGATGATACCATGACTTTGCAGGAGCACATTGAACCATGAACTGTTTTGTTCAAGTATTTGCGACTTGAACTTACTTGAAGCACCATATCAATCCATATCAGCCATCATGTCTGATGGCAAAGACCTCCACCTGCCGCCCAGACTCCAAAAATGTGTTCCATGTCAGCAACCGCTTGGGCAGGACCTCAGTTTCGACATCCTGACATCCGGCAGCCTGATGAAGTGAAGGGTTTGACCATGCCCTGACCTTCAAGTGTTTTTTTTCGAAGAGGCACTAGGCGTGATTCCCATGTCTTCCAGTCTTTCTGGTGAAATGAACCAATAATACCAGGGGGTTACCCTCCCGAACCTTTCCCTTTTCATTCTGCCTCCTCGTTTTTGAAATGAACATGGCAATACAATTGTGTTTACATTCTAATTCGAAAGGAACACACTTTCCCTCAACCCAAAGTTCTTAATCCTACAAGCAATTCTATGTGACTTAGGATACTTAGGTCCATACAATAATTCTGGGATCCCCAAACAAGTCCCTGAAGATTTGTGGAAAGCCCACCTGCAGATATGTAGATCGCTAGGTCGCAAACGGTAAACCGAATTCTGTAGCCTCCATATCTGATTGTTAGTCAGCCTCCCACAACATATAAACCCTCAAAAAATAACCCATGTTTTAGTGGACAGAAGTCTTCCAACCCCCCACTGCACATGAATGTTCCAGCTTAGAAGCCCAGTTCCTTCACAGGCCTCTGCCACAAATCTGATGCGTCTTGGACCTCATTCAATGCCTGGCCACACAGCGCCTTTCAACACCAAACATGGCGGAAGGAACACTGGCAATGCTTGAGATTGTTCACCTTTCATCTTGTCATGTGTTTTTGGATTCTAGACGATCTATAATATGATGGTATATATATATATATAATATATATATATCCGAATGTGATTGAATATGTGACAATGTGATACAATGTGTATCTTTTCAAAGGAAAGCACATGCCCATCCATCAGGCTGTAGTGTTTACCGATTCCGGGCTTGGAATCTCCACTCCAGGGGAAGTCTTTCACATGTACTGATGGATACAGTAAAGGCCAGAATTGGGTGACCCAAACAATCTCAAACCATACCAAATAAATTAAACCCCCAACTTTCGGTGTTGTCATTTTCAGCCGGCCATAAGCCGTGTATCCACATCTTGGACAAGCGGATGCTTTCCGGCCTCCACATATTCCAAGGCATAGTAATGACCCTGGACTTGACAGGGACCTGCTTTGGACACGATTTCACCTGCTGCAATTCTTCGCTTTCGTCCATGGGTGGAACAAGTGAAGGACACCATATATTATGAAAATACAGGTGGTGCCAAAATTATAGAACGAAATTAGGAGTACAAAAGTACGGTAAAGTACCATATTCTATGGTGGAAACAAATGCTTTCCTGTCAAGAAACAAGAACTCAGAAAGCAATCCTTTGAGTTGTGTGCATCTTTCATCTAACCATCTTCTTCAAAGGCTAAATTTGCCGATCGATCTTTTCACATCTGATGGAAAGTCAAACCCTAAACCCTAAACGCCCTAAACCTGTGGGACCATTTTCAATGGCATGGACTGTATATATATACATATAAATATATATATATACATACATATATATACATATAAAATATGAAGCTATCATCTATCAGCTATCTTAGCATCACCAGCAATGTATCATGGTTTGATTCCTGCCCAGATGATCCCAGATGCCAGTTTAGTAGGGATCCCTAGTTGAAAGTTGATATTCAATCCCATCAACTTGTACATATATTAATAATAATAATAAAAACTAATAATTATTATATTATGTGTATATAATTGTATATACAGTATATATATATAAATGCTACTCTAGTTGCAAAGCACAACCTTACCTTTCTATAGGTGGTCTTACCTTGTACGGATCAAAACCCAACCAGTACCATGTTTCCCCAAAACAGCTGGTCGATATTTGTCTTCACATGTAGGGTTGGTCTGAAAATAGGGTATCCCGTGGTGAATGATCAAGCAAGGCACATGGAAATTCTATGAACTTCTGCCATTGTGGGTGTCATTTAGCTCCAAGGCACAGAACTCTTGGGCTTTGATCACAATGAACTTGCCTCAGCCGGCCACGGGGCCACGGGGCCACGGGGTCACGGGGCCACGGGGTCACGGCCGTGCCACGTGGCCACAAGCCATGGTGAAGGAAAGCACCATGGCACCATGGCAACTCTTTCCAAGTGGCTAAAACTCGATGTGATGAGATCCTTGGCATCGCAGAGTGAAATATGGGATGTCCATGCCAGAACTGTTTGAGTGTTCTGCATGTTCTTTTTCTCAAGAAGGAGTAGTTACTGAGATAAAAAACATCCGAAACATAGCCAATGGTTTCCTAAGAATCGCAAACCAATTTGTTGACGACACTTTCACTTTCACTTTCACGGCGCGAAAAGGTCCTGTTGGCCTTGCTGCGATGTTTTTTTTCTCAACCTCGAAGCCTCGAAGTTTGTCCAGGTGGACACAGATCATCTATGGGGTGCACATCCAGGCAGCCTCCTCTGGATTCGGAAGGAAATAATTCGCGACAACAATGAAGTCCCCCTTTCCACTGCAGCACTCAGGGAGATGGTCTTCCCGGCCTTCTTGCGCCGAGTGTATAGGGCCATCCGGCCCTGTTGGTGGTCCATGGAGATCAAGGGCAGCATGCTTTTGCTTGCCACAGGTAGTGGTGCGACCATAGGTTCCTGTCCCGGCACACTGCGAGACACCTGGGATCCAGGTCTTGTTGCAGGGCTGCATGATGGCGACCTTACAAGTCCATGTGGTTTTGCTGCACACCAAGGCATCAGCACACCATTTTTTGGACCTGATCATCCTTTTTCCGTGCTTGCCGATGACCTTAGCCTTTGTGTGTTCGTAGCATTTCTCTCCAAATTGGGGCAACGGTTCTGAGGCTTCTCCAAATTGGGGCGACGGTTCTGAGGCTTCTCCAAATTGGGGCAACGGTTCTGAGGCTTCTCCAAATTGGGGCAACAGTGCTGAGGCTTCTCCAAATTGGGGCAACGGTGCTGAGGCTTCTCCAAATTGGGGCAACGGTTCTGAGGCTTCTCAAAATTGGGGCAACTGTGCTGAGGCTTCTCCAAATTGGGGCAACAGTTCTGAAGCTTCTCCAAATTGGGGCAACGGTGCTGAGGCTTCTCCAAATTGGGGCAACGGTGCTGAGGCTTCTCCAAATTGGGGCAACGGTTCTGAGGCTTCTGAGTCCTGGAAGTGCTGAGTGATGGCCTTGTGCCCAATTTCCTCATCATTGACACGGGTGGATGATGCAACCGTGAGAAGGATGAGCAACTGGACGGAGAAGAGAACCATTGGGAAAGCCTCGACAAGCTGGGCTGCCTTTTTTGGAAACAAGTTTTGGATCTGGTTTTCTTGCTCTTGAGCCAAAATGGCTACGGAATTTGTTGACGAGCACCAAAAATAAACGTAACGCAAGGACAGAAAACTGAATACCCTCCGGTAATCAAAAGTGGTTGGCTGGAAAATCCTCCCGAATTTGTGTTTTGCTTCTCCCATCTTCGATGCCCAGCCAGTTCGCGGATTTGCCTATCTTGTTTGACGGCACCATCTGCTGTCAGATCAACACGCAGGACAGACTTCCAATGTTTGCAAATGATTGTGGGTCAAAACAGATCTAGATACTGCAAAGATTGCATTCCCTTGCAAAGAATGACCAAAGTCCGTCCTTCCCTTATCTCGACCCCAACATTCCATGATGTTCCTTGCCCACATTGCTATCTTCAGTGGGATTTTCCAAGTGGGTTGGCTGAAATATATAATCATACTCCAAATTCCAATTGATTATCGCATTGTTTGCCATCACAATTGCCGTTTTGGGAGGTACCTCCTTTTTCTTTTCGGACACACAATTTCAATTATCAATTGGCTAAATCCCCATATTCGCTGCTTAGGTCATAAACTGTTTGCTGCGCTTCAAGTATCATTTGGCTATATCCCCATGGTTGATGCTGAACTCCAAAGTCCATTAAATCCCATAATTATGTTGGTAATTCATTCCATTCAAGTTGGTACTTCATTCCATGAAGTCCTCATTCCATGAAGTATCAGTTGGCACTTCATTCCATTTTTTAATCCCATCTCCAGCCACTTCAAAAGCCCAGGGTCTCCCAAGTGCAGCCACTCAGTCCACAGGCACATCTCTGAAATCCATTCACCTCGGTGCAAGTTATCCTCTGGTAATGACTAACAGTTTGCTATTGAAAATGGCCATAGAGATAGTGAATTTAGCCATTAAAAATGATGATTTTCCATAGTATATAGTTATGTTAGTTTACCAGAGGGTATAAGGGATCCGTGAAAAAAAACAGCAAGCCACCCAAAATTACTTTACTTCGTGTGATCCCCACCATGACATTTATAGATTTTCTTACTGGCAAATCTTCTGGCATTCTATCTGACATATCTTCTGGCATCTGGCATATCTGGCATATCTTCTGGCATCTTCTGGCATTCTATCTGGTGGCATCTGGCATATCTTCTGGCATATATTCTGACATATCTTCTGGCATTCTATCTGGCATTCTATCTGGCATATGTTCTGGCATATATTCTGACATATCTCTGGCATTCTATCTGGCATTCTATCTGGCAAATCTTCTGGCATTCTATCTGGCATATCTTCTGGCATTCTATCTCATATCTTCTGGCATTCTATATTCTATCTGGCATATCTTCTGGGCATGGCATTCTATCTGGCATTCTATCTGGCATATCTTCTGGCATATATTCTGACATATCTTCTGGCATTCTATCTGGCATATCTTCTGGCATATATTCTGACATATCTGGCTATCTGGCATTCTATCTGGCATATCTTCTGACATTCTTTCTAACTTTCTTCTGCACATTCTTTGTCCCATATCTTCCTACATGAGGTCCGGCAGGGAACACTTGGCGTGGATACTCGCGGTTGAGGTCCGGCAGGGAACACTGGGCGTGGATGGTCGTGGTTGAGGTCCGGCAGGGAACACTGGGCGTGGATGGTCGTGGTTGAGGTCCGGCAGGGAACACTGGGCGTGGCTGGTCGTGGTTGAGGTCCGGCAGGGAACACTGGTCGTGGATGGTCGTGGTTGAGGTCCGGCAGCGAACACTGTGGATCGCGGGTCGCAGTTGGACGAGGACGACGAGGACGACGAGGACGACGAGGACGACAAGGACGACAAGGAGGACGAGGAGGAGGCAGGAGGCAGGAGGCGGCAGGAGGAGGAGGAGGCAACTGACATAAAATCTAACAACCCTCACCTGGCAGGTGGGGAAAAAACATGTTTTGAATGAAGAACTATTTTCGAGTGATCCCCACAGTGGATCACAGTGGCACAACTCTGATATTTGAATGTTTATCTTATATAAACTCATTTAGAAAACCTGAGAGGAAAAACATGTTCCAAACACATTTCGGGTTGGACAAACCGTGCGAAGACCCCCCAAAAATAAAAAAACACAACAACGACTATTTTTTTATTGATGTAATCATTGCAATCTTTAAATTATTTGCGCGTCTCACATTAACACCAATAATTCGCAAACCCTGCCACCCTCTCCGGTCACCGGGCATTGAATCTGACATATTTTTTGAAAACTCATCTGGCATTTTATGTGGCATTTTATCTGGCATTCTACCTGGAATATATTCTGACAATGTTCTCTGACATGTTATCTGCCATCATTTTATCCATTTTTTCTGGCATTTCCTCTGGCATAAGTTTGGGTCCGGCGCGCTGTAGGCAAAAGGGCCAAGCTGACAACCGCATGCTGGCGAGGAAGTCGGCATGGAAGTACTGGTCCAACCGACACTAGACTCGCTGAACTGAACCACAGCTGCTAATCCAACTGCTCAAAACCACTAACCTCTGGTAAACTAACATAGCTATTGAAAATGGACATTTATAGTGGATTTACCCATTAAACATTGTGATTTTCCATGTTAGTTTACCAGAGGGTAGCTTCCCACATGGGAAGTGGAACTGCTTAGCTGCTAAGTTTCGCCATTGTGTCCCTGACACAGCAGTGGCACTCCGTGATCACATGCATCTGGATATTTATGGTACCAATTAGAGCAATAATTGAACACCGGGATGCAACATGATCCTGCCTAAAACAACCCAACATGACAAATCACAGTTGTCACAATGGTGAGCTCTTTGATAGTATAACATAGTATAACGTATAACAATCAATCCCTAGTCATAACTCTCAGTCATTTTTTGGCAACGTTGGCCACACTACTATAGTGCCCTCCAATAGCATCAATAACCAGGTCGCGGCATCCGGGTTTGACCACTGCCACATTGGGCTGTAAATAGAGCATGCTGCAGTCATCCAGGGCATAATACGCAGCAGCGGCCTCGGCGTTGTGCACAGCTATGGCTGCTATGGCGCCAGCTCCCGTGTCGGGCACATGTTTGGGTAAATTAAGGGGTAAATATAATCTGAGGTGCATTTAACATAGTCAAATAGTCATCACCTATTTTCAGCAATCTATGATAAGGATTAGATCACATCCTATTAAATAGGTGAAATATGGTAAAATTATGTAAACTAACGTAATAAAACTTTCCTTGTGGCTATCATTTATCTATAATCGGAGCAACCGTGAGTTTAGGGGCTGAAAGTACACCAACTTGTAATACGGGGCGCACTACATGGTGCGGATCTATAGTTGATGTAACGATGGGCAACTAATTAAGTGCTGGCTTATAAGTTATAAGATGTTATAAGTTATAAGTAAAAACACGGGCGGCTGTTGACATACAGAATTTAATTATCTTTCTCTGAATCCACTTCCAACAAATTCTGCCTCAGCCTAACTGACGGGCGAGACAAAAGGAAGCGACGTTTCACTCACGATTCCGTTTTCCAGAATCCAATTGTTTGCCTCATCCTGTGGTTTTACATCTCAAACAAGTTGGCCCAGTTTCTATGGCTCGAAGATGCTCGAAGCATACTGAGCCAAGAAGACCTACTATGATCTGGGAGCTAAATCCATGTGTTTCTGTTCGAACCAGGGAGAGGATATCGTTCTTGAGACAGTTGAGAAACTTTAACTCAATCTAAGCCAGAATCATTAGTCTTTGATCAGTCTTTCATTTGTCAATGATATAATGATATATAATGCATTACAATATTATATACATATAATATCATATAATTATTATATTACTGTACTGATGTTTTCACATCTATCAGTTACTTTCAGTACTTGACTTAAATTTTATGGTGCCGTTGAAATCAATGGCCCGAGATGCCCGAGGTAGTTCGGAATCAGATAAATGTTGACAGGAATCGTCAGTAGTTTCTTGGAAAAAATCGTAAAAAAAAACAAAGCACCTTAATCACAACCGGTCAGGTTTGTGTAAATTCTGGAATGCCATAGATTTTCAATATCACCGCCCTTGTCGTTGAATCCCACTGTTATTTTTTCGTCGCAGGCGCCAAATTTCCGTGGCAAAAAATCACGTCGTCTTCAGCTGTCTCCTGACGTGGTTCCCCGATGACTTATCTTAGAGGTAACTGGAAGGATACACAACAAAAATAGGGGGTACAAAGTGAGGCCCCCACCGATAGCTAAGTCGGTGCACATAACTTGGATAATGTTTGGGTTTAAAGTTGCAACTTATATAAACCGACTTATAGCTGGGCAGGCCAACATTGTATGAACTCAACCATTGGAACAATACGATGGGATAGAGTGGGGATGAACAAGCAACATCAAGCAACCATGCAATATTGGTTTGTCTGAACATGGGGCATAACTTGACGCTATGCATTGGGAAGCTATGAATAGCCAGTGGACTATGAGTGGCTATGGAGTCTACCAAGTTTAGGACGCACCTATGCCTTGAAGAATATGAGCGGTTCAAATTTGGTGACTCGAGAGATTTACCGGAACCTTGGAAGCCTTGGAAGAAACTGTGGATTCGTCTAGTTGCACATGGTATTTCTTTCAACTTGGACCATTTACCCGACCGAAAACGGCTCGAGCAAGGTTTGGGTACTGGATCAGAATGGAATTGTAGGAAAGTCTGAAATGTCAGTGTTTGCTCGAGCCGTTTCCGGCTTCACCTTTTTTCAACTGCCAGCCGAGCATCCAAAACGGTCATAGCCTTGTTAGCAATAGTCTGCATCACCTGCTTCCGTGACACAGAAATCGCGGCTCCTATGATCTCGATCCATAACCTCAAACAGCTCTACCTAGATCCTCAATGAACCCATAAGAATTTGTATAATTGTCCCATAAAATCTAATGCGATGAACCATTTTTTATCCATTTTTTCTGGGTCAACAAAGGATCAAGGTACATGGGAGATCTAGCCCAATTTATGCGGTCACACACATTCCTCAATCATCTCAGTAGCCAACTGGCGGCTATGTATCCACCATCCCAGTTTTAGTAGCATACCCAATTTCACAAAACCACGTGATGTTTTCTTGGTTTACTAATTATCCGATAATTGTCCATAATTTCCAATATGTTTGCGTATTCTACATAATTACTTATTATAACTTACTTATGTCTATATAATCTAATTTCCCATATTATTGGGTTTACCTCATTACATCAATCATCAGCAGCAATCCCAAGCTCCAGTTTGGGGGTACCTGAAAACCAACAGGTGAAGTCACGCAAGTGCCAACTTGAAAGCCCAACTGCTTGGTGCATTCGACCTTTTCCAATCCATCCCCAGTAAACATTCACGCTGGTGGCATCGGAAGAACAATGACGTAATTATCTGTAATAATGTGATATGATATGATATGATATGATATGTTCTGATGTTCTGTTTTTTCAAACCACCTATCAACCTTTATATAATATATTATATAAATAGGATGTTTTGCACCATGTTCCCCTTCCTTTTTGCCATGCCATGGCCACGGCCAGGCCTGCTCTTCTTGAAGACTCAGGAATTTATTCCGGAAGAGTTTCGCCTTGGTTGACCGCTCCCGGAGACAATCAGCGAACCTGGGGATATCCTTCAAAACCTCAGGTGACAGACCTGACCTTGGGAGAATGCGTATCAAAGTACGATTTTTTAAAGGGACTCGGACTATACATATTAGTGGATAAATTGAGGTATAAGATGGTATAAGCAATTATAACATATTATAACATGCACATGAGACGAAAATAGATGAGGCCAAACACTCATGCTTTCAAGTGCATCGTGATGGTCTCCTCTGAGTGATCCTCTCCGAAAAAGTCCATCGGAAACACCCTGGAAAAATAGCAGCATTTTGATTTTGATGTCACATGCGCGTCTGAGTGGCAAAGAAGGGCAGGCTGGCCAAACCTTCCTGAGAATGGATGGGGAAAGAACTGGCAGGCTGTGGGATGTCATCCCATAGCCTGATCTAGGAACTGACTCCAACTGACTAGGTCTACCGCATACCCGAAAAACAAAAAAGGGACGTGAACATAACATTTAAATAAAACACGGCTTGACGAGAGTTCAGTGGGTTTTTCAACAAACTGAAACGATGGTTGATCATCCAACTAGGTACTGAGTGACAAGGTGGTCAATGTTTGTGATTTTGTTGTTTTTTCTAGACCAGACATAGGTGGATGTGATATGTGTGTTTCAATGATGCAACATAGACATGTTCCTTTCTGGTGAAAGCGGCGAATGTGTGGCGTGGTGTTTTTTGGGGTCCAATTCTTGCCGAAACAACTACCTGTCTCCTGGTCATGATCTTACAATACCATGTATCAGGCATATGAATATGTTGGGTTAGGTCCGAGTGGGGTCGTGCCAACATACCAGTTGCCAGTGGCCAGCATGCTTCGCCAAGATTCGTTATACCTCGCAAGTTGCAGTTCCTCAGCATCCGGTGACTAACGCCCTAGCGCCCCTGGGGGCCCTGGCTTTGGAGGGTTTGACCCAGCAAGGAAGATCAGCATTTCAAACGAGAGGGTGTTCAAGTACCAGCCATGAATCTGAGGGTTCAAAGCCCTCAACTAGATAATCTGGCCAAACTATGAGATGTTCTGAAATGGACATGAAGATTGCTTGAGAAACCACCTTCAATCAAATGTGCCAACAAATGTGAATTCAAAATTCGAGCTTCTAAGTACAAGTATTGACTCATGACATATCTCACACGTCTTTGAGACATTTATATCCGGTGCCATGCTCCAAAATCTTGTGACTTTAGCAAGGCCAAAGCCGGATTCTGTTCACCCCCCGGGTGGACTCGAAATTGGGCACGGTGCTTAACCGGCTTAACCATGGTCCATGCAGTCCATGCTTGTAGATCCACTTCTTGATTCTGCTTCGAACCACTTCCTCCAAGTGCCGCATTCTATGGTCAGCCAAGAATTCCCCCCCGTCCCCCCGTGCACCTTATTGGTCAACATCGCTCAACCAAGCTTCCGCTTGTAAAGATTCGGAGAGGAGGTCGAGAATGTACCTCAGACCACAAGCAAAGTCAGGCACACAGGCGGCAGTACGAATGATCCCTGCTTGGCAAAAATCTGTCTTCTGGCCGTTGTAAGAATAGCACAGTCTTCCTATCTGGCTGAATTAGTGCCATTTAATATCATTCAGCAAATTTAGCAATCTGAAACGAGGTGATTTGGGGGTGTTTGCCATTGCTACCAATAATCATGGCGAAGTGTGGTGAAGTCCCTCCAATGCATCCATTAATCCATGAGAAACGGTCACATGATTACCACATTCCATCACATTCCCATATACACAGCAAAGCACTGGGGAAAGAAACACATTCCTGACAGCAAATCATTGAAACACAATCCTTTGGTGGGAGCAATTGGTCGTCAATTCATCAATTCTCGAATAGGGAACATTGGCGCATGGAATTCTAAACATCTCTGGAAATAAGCCTTTGCTTCTCAAGCTCGTTGTGTAGATCGCTGGGAAAAACAGAATCTAGAAACCAACTTTAGCTTACACAGTCTGGTGTACAGTAGCTAAATCAGTAAATCCCTTTTTTATGATTGGTGGATAAACGCTTCAGCCTCAATAATAGTGCCAGAATGCGCCATATCACCACACTAAGTTCTGTCAGTGTCTACTCCATCATCCAACAAATCCAGCTGACTGATTGGTGGTTGCAGCTGATCCAATCCAAATATATTTGTCACATTTCTGGGTAGCCGGGTAGCTAAACTAACATAGCTGTGGGAACATCTATGGTTTCCCAAGGAAACGATTCGATCTACCATGATCCACATTGAATGGTAGATCTTCGCTATCTCAGCTCCCCGGAAGTTACCGTTATCAGATCTTTGAAAAGCCGTGGAAGCTACGTCAAACAGAACCTCCATCCCCTAATATTCAATACCTCCAAAACGAAACCACAAAGTCATAAATAGGTCCACTATACGATACATTTTACCAAGGTTTCGTTTGGTTGGTATTTTTATATTATAATATATAGGGATTATGATTTATGTTGGTTTAGATCAAACTTATGATATTTTGTTTAAAAAAAAAAAAAACAACATAACTTTTTGGGATATCTCGGGATCAGGTTTTTGCTGGTGAAATCAGACCAGGCGACGGCTCCTCCGAGTTTGAGCCCCTCCTGGGAGTGGTTTCAGAAGTGGTTTTTAATTAATCCATGCCATGCATCATGTACAACCCAAATACTTGCGGATATGATTGGATTTTCTTGGATATACAATATGTATGTATATATATATATATATTATATAATATAGTATAGATATAATATATGATTATAATATATATATGTACATATAATATAAAACTAGGGCAGAATGCAGTTGTAGATGGTTGTAGCTACTGTATATAATATACACACAGCACATGGTAATGTAATGCATTAGCCACTTGGGTCTCTGGGATATACCTGAGCCTCAATACAGCACAAGAATCATTCCCATGCGGACATGTATCAAAAAACCGGTACCCGTGGTGCTCCTTGGAAGTTCATCTCCCTAAACATATGGTACTTTTTTCAGGTCAACTGACTCTGCTTGATCCAAGTGAACATCAGCTTGGACAACCAATAATTTTGCGGCCATACATGGGCAGTCCTACTCTCTCTCTCTCTCTTTCTTAAGATCTCTTAAGATTCAAGACATTCTCCGCCGGCTCTCAATACATTCTGGTAATATGACATAGCTATGGAACATCACCATTTCCAATCATTTGGTAAATCATGGAGCTAGATGGGCAGTTTTCCCTTCCACAAACTGTTACCAGACAGAAACCGCCTTTTTTGATCTTGTGGGGAACCCTTGAAATCAATACCCCTTTCACCCTTTGGTGGATTTTTTCCAAGTGGCTGTAAATAAGCATGGTGAAGGAAGCGTGTGACGCGCTGACGCAATTCCTCTGGGATTTTGTTGGTGCGCAGGAAGCGTCTCAATAGTCCAAACTGTTGCGTCCTGAGAGGTCGAAAACGTCAGGGGACGTCACGTCCAGAGAAACGCTGAGTGGTCAGAGCCAACCACGTTTAGAAAAAAATCCTCACATGTTCATGAATAGTACTGATACGCTTCCAAAAGTTACCTCTAGTTTTGGTATCAGGCTGTCAGGCCGTCCAATCTTCTGTTAATGTTGAGACCCAGCTGGCTGGGGGAAGTTGGGATGTACAAACATCTGGTTGCTGAAAACCTCTTAAACTCAATATCATGGTTGACACAAGTATGATCAAATATTAGCCATAGCTGAGTGTGCATGTGTGTATCTGTGCGCGTATGTCTGATCTATAATGGGTACATATCGAACTGATGCACTCACCAAATATGCACGAGTTGTTTTTCAGTGCACGCCTGCGCAGTTACTGTAACTTGACAAAAGTAGATGCTTCGGCATATGCAGCGAAAATGCTGAGGGAAAATGGATGGGACCTCATCAATGGCCACTGACATTTGTTAGGTAACCCCTCCCATCTACACTGGGTGTGTCATAGCAAGGGCCTAGCTGTAGGCACGCTTGGAGCTGAAGATTCCAAGATAATGGTGAATCTTCCTGTCAAACAATCTAATGTTTGGTTGGTTAGATCTGGTTAGTATATATATATATATATATATATTGATAGCAAAAGATTAAAAGACATGGTAGTATATTTATGTATATTTTACCATTAAAGACATTGTAGCTGGGTAGTATATTTTACCATTGATAGTAACATATTTAACCAAGGTTTACCCAGAAGACATCTCAAAAGACCAAGCTATTGGGTATTGCTTGGATTGGATTCAAAAACCACCAGTCCTGGTGGTGACAGCCCGGCCCAAAGGTGCTTCATCTCATGATGTCAACTGCGACCCTATTTCACTGGCGCCCGTTTCTTGAATTGTTCATCCTTAATCCCCGGATTCTGGTGTGTTTTCCCTCAGTCAACAACAATGATTTGGAAACAATCGACCCAAGCCAGGCCCACCTGCTTTGACCCATCAATTTTTCATCTAAATCATCATTCCGGATCATCCCTGGCGCAAATTCAATCAAATTCAAGGACGTCATCACCAAAACTCTGTTTTTTCACCATTTGAAATCAGCTCTGAAAATGATAGCTCCCTATTCCCATCATCCCATTGTTATCCCAGTTGCTCTTCCATCCTCTTGTGTTGCAACGTGCCAATCAAGGACGTCATGAAACTGATCACTGTGGAAAAGGTCAGCAAGGAGACAAGGGCCACCAACGCCGTATAGACGCCTTCCGTAGAGTTCACCTTAAGGCGCTCAAGCCGCTTGCAGTTGGAGAACTATGGAGAACTGGCGAGTTCGGAGTTTGGTGTCATGGAATGAAGCAATGGAAATGCGGATTTGAAGCAACAAAACTGGTGAAGTAAAAGCCAACAATTGGGATTCGAAAAGGATCGGATCAGTTCGAATTGAGATTTAACCAACGAAGATGGAGATAGACGCAACAAACTTTGGCAAGAACAACCAATAAACATTGGGACAGTATATACCTGGTATGGTTGCCTGCTTGCGCCAATAGGGACCCACAACTACAAGATGCACTTGGCAAATTATGTTTGTAAATAGTTCACATCATCAACCAGGACAAACATATATGATTTAAATTGATCTAAATCCATTGGTGGATGACTTCGCCAGGTTGACCGGTTGACCCTGGACTGAGTCTGTTGGGCCCCCTGGGCCCCCTGGGCCCCCTGGCTGCTTCAATCTGCGTGCCACCAATGCCCAACCTGGATCCAGGTCATCGATGACTTCACCAAAATGGTGACGGAAAACCTGTCGCTAGCTATGAATCAAATGGATTGCCAACCATGATTTAACCATCTGAAATAGAATCTGTTTGCACAACCAATGTCGCAATGTCGCTAGGCATAGAAAAGACTACCCCTCTAGACCATGGCTTTCTCCCTTGAAATCGAGCTGCCAATGAAGGAGGGACTCTCCTTACCATCCCCGTATACCTACAACATCTGACAACTTATCTGACCTGTTGCAAGGCAGAATTTCCGAAATCAGCTCATGGGGTGAATCGCAACCCATGATGATTGACTTCACACACCTGCAGATGTAGCTTGACCTTTCATTTGCAAGCAAAAATTGGCAAAAAAAAATGTCAAATACAATATCAATTACCAGAAATCATAGATGTTTTTTTTTGGTCATCCAACCCATAGCTATGTAAATTTATCCATATGTCTTGGTCTATGGAGCGTATGCGGCTTCCGAAACTCTGTGAGAAACTGAGATAAGGCCCATCGCAGACTGGTGGTGTACAGCAAAGTGAACGAGGCGCCTGTCAGCGGAGCATGGCTGGAAAACCCCAGAAATAGGGAATCTATTGGGATAATTTGGGATCCATGTCTAAAAAACAGAACTATATAGCTATGACTGGTTGGTGGTTGAGCCACCCCTCTGAAAAATATGAAAGTCAGTTGGGATGATCCTTCCCAATATATGGAAAAATAATCCAAATGTTCCACACCACCAACCAGATGATCATTGATTAATCCATGTAATATTATGTATCTCATATATATTTATATGTCATCATATGTCGATATGTGACATCCACCATTTCGGTGGATTCAAACGCAACAACCCCTACCACTATCTATTGATGGTAAGTACCTCGAACATCGCCCGACTTGTTGACCACAAAAACAAGTCCTGGTTGCACAGGTGAACCCCCAATCCACGAATCATATGACTTGTGATCAATGAATTGTTACATGGTATACTTTTAAATGATGGTAAATCATGGTAAATCCATTACATGGATTACATGTCATCAAGTTGGATGGTATACCTTTAAATCATATGGTAAATCCATGTTGATGTGATGAAACTGTCGAAACATGATGAAACCCTGACCAACTTAGAGGTGATGAGTTCCCAGGACATCCCTCAAAATTAGCCCTATTGTTTCATGATGCATGTTGAAGTTTCAACCCCGAACCTACTCCCCCAAAGAAAAATCGGGATAATCAAATACTGGCTAACTGTCAATAGTATATAGGGATTAGCAAAAACATAGGATCATCATTCCATGCAATCCCATTTATAGATACTTAATAGGTGATACAGTAAGATACAGTAAGACACTTAGTAAGTCCCCATGACATCTCCGGCATTGGGCAGGCACCTTCTTGCTTGGCTGCTGAGATCCAGGTCACGCTTTCGGAGCTCATGGAGCCTAAACCTGGACCGGCGACCAGATGGGAAAAGCGATGGAGAAATAGAGATTTCGTATGTTTTTCTTTGGGAGAGATTTTGGGGGGAAATACACATATGATCATATATGGAGATATGGAGATTTGCTGTGATTTCGTAGAGAAATGCATGGGTTTGTGCAAGCACGGGAAAATTACATTATATATATATATATTCAGTACAGTATATGTACAGACATGTATACATAAGGGATATATATATTAGCATTTTAATGTGGAATATGATGTTCTAAGCAGGACTTGGAGATATCACTGTATCTTTATGATGGGTAATGTGACTTTATGAAGATTTGGTAGAAAAGTATGGAAACATTAAATACAATTATGTGGGAACAAAAAGCATAGAAACATCACCATGGATATGGGAATATAAAGATGAGAATGTCCAAAAACACATGGCAATAGAAAATAAAATGCTTGAAAAGAACATGACCTAGCAAAATTTTCATCCTGATGTCATCCTAACTGGTACCTTTGAGACAACAGGATAAACAGAACGAGTTTCCTTCAGCCCCCAGCGATGGCTCAGTGGCCACCAGTTGAACCATTCCCGTGCTGTCACCATGTGACGTTTCGCCTTTTTGGAGACGTGACATGGAGTTAGAAATTTTCTCCAAAGAATTCTACATAATGCACATATGTGTTTGGTTGTTTGGATAAACTGTACGATGGAAACATATTTAGTTCCACCATGTTCCTTCATATTTATCCAAACTGCAGCTCGTATGGTAAATATCAGTTTGGTTCTGAAAAAATATCAATGATAACTGCAGTATATCAGTTACCATCTGGTTATTTAACATAGCCATGGAAAATGGCCCATTTATAGATGGTTTACCTATTAAAAGTGGTGATGTTCATTGATTTTCCATGGCTATGTTAAATAACCAGAGGGTATATAGCTAAGATAAATGTGGTTCTGAAAACTCCAAACCATCCGCCAGTGGCGAGTGGCCAAACCATCCGCAAGCGATGACATGCTCCAACAGAAGCCTCAGCGATGACAAGCCGTTGCGCGAACGATCATTTGGGGATACACCGCTTCGCCCAGTTATCAACATCTGGCTGACTGGTCTAAGTTGTATCACTGGGATTTTATATACAGTCTGACCGGAAATCCATTGCTGTTGACCATCGAAGATGTGGGTGTCAGACATAATATATATATATATACATATATATATATACATATAAATATATATATATACATATATATATATACATATCTATCTATATTCCATTACCTTCCTCTAACATCCTTTAAACAATTATCATGACTGCTTAAGGTGTTGACACTAGAAAGTCAAGCAACAGTATGCAGCATAGGCATACAAAACTAACCAATAATCAATAATCATGAAAACAATCATTTGGAAGCCCGGATGCTATGGTTGTGTTGACAGTGCATGACCTCCGCTTCTCAGTTGATGTTTGATCTAACATGATCCAACTACCTTTCAAGCTCTCATCACAGGTAGCATACTACAAGGAGTTTGTCCAACCATACATTTGATTTTATTGAGTGCATGTCAGGATTTCACCAATTCACGTAACAGGGAAAGGAGTTTGCAAGTTTGGCCAAGAAATGCGCCTTGCTGGGAAGATCGGTGGCTCCTTTGGCGATCACAGCCCCTAGACTAGACCTGCAAAAGGATTCCACCCCGCTATGGTGGCAGCCATGATCTTTGACAACAGACTTAGACCGTTCTGTGGCAAAGGTATGATCGTAGTATGCACAATGCACGATCACCTTTTTAGTCGTAACAATATAAGTGACATTTATATTTACCTGGCAATTCCTGATAGGGAGTATTCTACATATCCGTCTCCTTGTGCCTAAGTCAATACGACGGGTCTGACATGCAAATAAAAGCTAACCCATGCGGCTCCTACTAAAAGAGGGCAACGATTTCAAGCAGCATTAAGCACTGCCAAGCATCATCGTGACCATGGCAATGACCAGGGTGAACTGAGTATAGGCAACGTCTGATTCAAACCTGAACGAAACACCAGGAGGACCATACGGTGCTGGCCGTTTCTGGCACAACTTGTCTACTAGCATGGTGGGAAGTTGATCTTAACAATGATGTTGAACCATTTATAATACAATGTATAGTATTACTACGTTGTTATGAACAAAAAATACTATTTAGATGCTCCAGTCTTCTCGTTCTTGCACTGCACCACGATGCTTTGGGCATCCTGAACGGCTCGAACTTTGAGGTTCCGACCCGCTATATGGAGAATTCATGACATGGCATACTTTTTTGGAGGAGCGCCTAGTTTTGATTCATCCCCGCAAGAACTTCTCGTAGTTTTGACTCATAACAGTGTGAATTTCTTGTAATTGCCTTCGGAAACTATCTAAGTATTTCAGCAACACCGAGTATTTTGACACGGATCTGAAAAGAAAATGGTGAAAATGCACCCAGGGTTGCCCCCTTCTCAATCTCTATAATCAAACCTTAATGTTGGGATTGATGTTGGTTAATAACCCCGAAACAAAAGGCCTGTTTCTTGTGGGGAGGAATGGAAGAACTACCTTATTCTGGTACCCTTCCATGAGAGAACCAGTTTGCTCCTAAAAAGTCGGGTGCCGAACTTGAATTGCGCGCGGCATCCGTGTCTTGCTACTGTGTTTCTGTTCGCTTAGAGTAGCCTTGACTGTATACTGATGTACAGTATATACTGTATACCATGTCGCTGACTGTATACCACAATTAACATTCCAATATCTCTGGACTGTTCTTTTTCCTATGGAACTTCCAGCTATCTGTGAAACTTCCAGCTGACATAGCATAACCGGCTGACGGAAAAATACTGAACAGTACTGATTTGAGTGTGACGCCAAATCTTCATCTATTCTATTTAAAGATAGAAACGCCCATGGAAATTCGCCCATTGACCAGTCACCAGTCGATCCAAACCCAACCGGGTGGCTTGTCCCGCAAGAACGCCGCGGCCCGCGTGAGTTTTCCGAGGCGTACGACTCGGCAGAGGCGCAGAAGTCGCAGGACCTGTTGCAGGGAACGGATTGACCGATAGGTAGACCTACCATTTATGGGGCCTATTTTTGTAGGGCTAAATTTAAGCGGATCTGCCCCCAAAATATTGCTAAAATACACTTTATATGATACAAAAACCCTATCTTAGGGCATGTGGCTTAACATTTTTCAGATGGATGTAACAGGCTTAGAAGCGAACACAAACAATGGGAATAGATCATGATCTATAGGTCGTTCAAAGCTTTCAATGTCATGCAAGTAGCGGGCTCCAGTGGTATTCCAGCAATATCCACTTCCCGCGGTTATGTCTGCAAAACCTTCCATGGAATGCAAAAAAAGACATGTCAAAGTTGTCTTCAAAACATAGCCAATCTCAGACAGTACAGTATGCAGTATGCATTGTATACACACAGGATACGGGTACACATAAATAAATAAACAAACAAATAAATAAATAAATAAATAAATGTGTAATATATATATATATATATCATATAGGTAGACAACATACATACAATTGTATATATATACATACATATAATATGTATTCATACATGTGTTGTGCATCCCCATTTATAGCAAGAGACCGGAGTACCAAGCTCTCCATCCATATCCATATCCAAGGTTTACCAAAAATATGTGAGAATATCAAATATTATACATTTCATTATGAAATTATGCACCCCCATGATCTCCCATCATTCATAGCAACATGCTCAATTGCCGGCGAAAAACGCGTGTGCCCGCACTCTGCGCACTGGCACGGGCGTCATCGAACATCAAAATCTCGGTGGGATGTGGCTTAAAAAGACAACCCAGCGAAGAATGAACATAGTATAACATAGTCAAAAGTTGTCAAAAGCATACCAATCATATCAAATCTTAACTCGCTTTTGGCAGCTTCCTAGTCTTCCTTTTTTTATCCTTGGACATGGGAAAAAAAACATGAAAAAACCTGTGGTTTCATTTGGGTCCATGACAAATGCCTGCATGGGATGTCGCACGTGGGAGAGTTTCCCAGTTTGGGTCTGAAAAATCGAGACTCAGAAACTCAGTAGTCGTTTTCTTCACGTCTTTGAAAGCACCATCTTTCTTAGTGACTATGCCAATTGACACCTTTGACAGCACATCCCAAAAAATCAAGCGCCCAGCCACAACGTCAATGATGGTGACCACAATGTCAGGTATGAACCACGACTTCAGGTAGCGTTTCGCAATGGCACGATGGTCATCGATCAGCTGTCCCTTGTCCAAATATCCTATAGCCGAGGCCCGACTAGGCGGAGTTTCCCAGCTCTACGCATTTACTGGATAATAAACTTGCATCAAAGTATCCTATTTCAGTGGAGGAAAACACGAACACATCAATGTCACATCAATCTTCCGTGGCTGGCCTAAGGATCTTGATTTTGGATTGGTATATATAGCTGATAGGTCCAAGGTCCACAAGCACAGTGGAAACGCTGTGGAAACATGTGGAAACAGTGGTGCAGACACTGGTTCAGATGTGTGAACCAGCATACATCATATTGTCAGGTGCATGCTAAAATGATTTTAGTTGTGGGCTTTTAGGCCTATTGCGTGCTGATCACAAGCCAAAGATTTTATGAAACTATGTACATCTATGGCATGGCCATGAACGTGCAGCAATCCTGTGGTCGTTGGGGGGCCACTTGGAAAGAATGCAAAAAAACAAAATCAAGTTTTGGACATGTCATTGTGGAACTACATTCTCTACGACCATCCAAATAAGGAGTAGGAGATAGTAGGAGATAGATTGAAAGTGGTTGAATTGAATCGCATTGAACCACTGCTAAGTCAACGCATAAGGACTGTAAACTCACCAATATTCACCAGCAATTCACTTCTGAGCTTCAACTTGTTCAACTTCTTTTCTGCGGGAGTCATTGTAGCCATCTGGGTGAGTCTGAATATGGGGGATGTACTAAAATTTGATTAAGACGTGCGTTGACATAGAATACTTTGATGAAGTATCAGTATATTACTCCACTGACAATTGATTAAGAAAGATATTTCACTTTAGCCGTCGGTAGTTGTTGATTAAGAAATACGATTTAAATGGGAAAACATATGAGAAACCATAGGATTTGGGGCTGCCCAATTTTGAGACCAACCCATCAACCCATCTTTCCACAGCTTTGCCCACTGATCCGAGGCCCTCTTCGTGACCAAGAGTCCAGTCAGAAAGGACAACAACATGTCAAAGAACCAGTAGAATACCTGCACGACTGCAGTGCTCCAGCAAAGGACAAGGTGGATGCTCCAGTAAATATTTGAGGAAACTCGAGTGGATTGGTTCTCATGCAATGGTTTGATCAAGACAATGGGAGGGATCTTCTAACAAGACTCAACCATTTCTCTCAAGAGTCAAGAAACGTTTCTTGGTGGAAGTCGACCAATCACACATGCTCCGTGGTGTTGCTACCTTTACCAACATACCTCCGTGATTTTGGTGGTAAATGGATATATGAAACCCCCGCAAATACAAGTAGTCGAATATCTTAGTCTCATGCTATTGTCGGATGAGATTTGAAATCTAATAGCTATCATAATTTCCCTCATTTTGAGACCAATCAGTTATTGGTTCATATTTTTCCCAGATTGGTTTCATAATTTTCACCCTTATAATATATATATATATAGTGTGTCACAGTGTTATATATATACAGTATATAAGTGTAACCCCCATTGACCCCCTATAATCATCAACAGGGTGCTTGAAAAATGCTCAGCTCCAAACGTCTAGCAGATCAAGGAGCAGCCAAGGCGCAGCGATTTGAGATTTGATTTTCAGAGCTGGAAACCTCGGCAGCTCACTGCGGTCACCGGCAACCTCCACGACGGAGAAAAGAGGAGAATACCTCCTCAAGTAATACAAAGAACTTGGTGGCCCAAAACGGTGTTTAAACACATGTATATGATTATATATATATATGTGATAAATGGCAGACTTTGGGCTTGAATGAGAGTCTAGCTATATATAAGAATATTATCAAACATTACAATATAATCAATATATAGATATGTCAGCAACCAAGGGAATATAACTGAATACAATCGTGAAACATGGTGATCCATCGTGATTAAAAAACATTGTAACATATTGCAACCACCAAATACGTGGATGTACTGCAACTTGCAATTCATCAAAGACTCGCTGGACACTATATAGCTTTGGGACATGGAGGTGGTATAATATTTTTCCGAATTGGGATAGACAGTCAAAAGACAGTCAAAAAAACACAAACTCTCTGACAACGTTGGTTGAATCATATGCTTCATCGGGTCACTCTACCTGATATGCCGCTATTCCTTGAGTAAACTCTCCCACGGAACTTGTTGTTTTCGGAGAAATCTACGGTCCATCATAGGAAGATTGAGTCCTTCTTGGAATCTCACAGCAGTTTTGTATGACTTTGGCTTCAAATAGGATACCCTCTGGTAAACTAACATAGCTATTGAAAATTGCCATTTATAGTGAGTTTTCCCATTAAAAATGGTGATTCTCCATAGTTATGTTAGTTTACCAGAGGGTACCCACCTATTGAATCCGTTTTTTTCTAAGGACATTTATCCCCTTTGGATGGCCATCCATTGGGGGTTTCTGCCCAGAAACATCTCAAAAAAGTCATCAGTGACAAACTGCACAGGCAGGAAGATGGTGTCCTAACGCACGGGTTAACGGCGCAAAAATCAACATTTTTTCAGGACAAAAGCCGGCACTTGGAGCACCCTGATCAAGCACCGGCCTGAAAAAACCTACCGTAAGAACCCCTCAGTGTGGACACACTGTTTGGGGAAAAACATTGTTTCATCTTGAAGGGAAAGCGACTCAGCAATTAGGATCCCATAGTTTAAGACTTACCACCTCTAAATGATCATTAAAGATGAAAATACAATGAAGCTTCAAATATGTGAAGAGGTGTCATGTGATGTGGCGGGTAGTATATGCTCTCCTTTTTTCGAGATCCAGTTCTTCTACTAGTAAATCGTTCACTGCACTAATCACAGTACAACACCCCAGAAACAACTCTCTGCCTACTGAACTTCTTCCCTGGCATAAAACATTTACAAGTAAGTGCGGCCCCAAAGTGGGAAGGCTGTCCCTTACCATTCGGTTCCTCTGCGAGCTCCAACGGATTATTCACAATCAGCTTTTTGTGAGATCTTTCCCATGTAATGTTGGATGCTGATTATTTGATTAGTGTGTACCTAAACAATTCACGGGGTAGCGTAACTACAGGAGTTTATTTAGTTTGAATCTACTTCTTATATCAATATATTATCTCCAAATCATTTAAATATGATTTACATATTTATCACATCATTAAATCATGCCTGGCCCTTCAGGAATCGTTCGCTTCAGGGCCGGCCCCACAACATGTTCTAAGACGCCATGGCCAGCAAAATGATTCCGACGAAGTCCCACAGATTTCGGAAGTGTCCTCGGATGGTTGTCCAACCAGGCGACATATTTTAACAAAGGAGTACTCTCCAAAGGAGCCATGTTGCATCATGTTTACGGATATGATATGTTGAATATGTTACAAACACATGGGGTAATCATTAATGGTTAAGAATCTAATCCCGGTGAATAAGGAATGAATCTCCGATAACGTGATAACTATGGGTATCATTCACAAATGATGATTTGAAGATGATTTGAATACTCTTATTCTCTGGTAAATAAACATAGACCCTGAAAATTACCTATTTTTAATGGAAACTAATCTTCCAACCCCTATCTGGCAGGGTCTATGTTAATTTACCAGAGGGTATTCTCTGTGTTTTCTTCTTTTAATACTCCCACTGTGTCGAAATCAAACTGTGTCAAGATCCCTCAGCCCCACCTTTCTGGCCCCATTTGTTTCGTCATCTGCAAGTGATATGGTCACTAACATCAACAAACCTGCGGTTCTGCAATGTCTAGGCCCCCAGGTGGTTATAGTTGGTTTATCAAAAAAAACATCTATAGGATTAATGGTATTTCAAAGGATTTAATGGGACTGCATCAAACAGTGGACCTCATCAACAAGTGTGTTGTTGTGTTCTTGCAGACATACCCTCCAGTAAACTAACATGGCTATGGAAAATCACCATGTTTCATAGTATATAAACTATAAATGGCCATGTTCAATAGCTACAGTATGATAAATTACCAAAGGTACTTCCTGAGCATAGTTCAACCTCATACTGTGACATCCGCAAACTTTGATATTCTACGTGGAAATGAGTGGATTTCAGGATCGTCCAAGTCAAAACAGTCAATCCACACCTCAAGCTCTACATTCTTAGAAGTATGCCCTTATCCACCCACATGTACACCCAACTTGCCATGCTGTGGACCCTGAAATTCTACAATCACCTGGTTAAACTAACATCTACTCTCTGGTGATCTAGCTTTGCCCTAAACAGCTGCCAGGTGATGCAAACGAGACACCCATGGGATTTAGCACTCCGAGCCTCAACAATGCATTGGAGGTCAACATCAACAGGGATAGTGTGATCAAGAAACTATAAATGTAATATAACTATCGAACTATATAGTGTATACATCTACTATACTCTAATACATTCATATGTGATTAGTGGCTTCAAACATCTTGCCAACAAGAAACCATTGGGGAATCAACATCTCACAACCACCAGTTCAGTCACCACTGAAATCCAGGGCGAGTATTCTTCCGTCGTAACTCTGGTTAAAAAAGGCCTGGATTTAAGAGGTTTTTTTCGTCCCCACAACAGCTCTGGAATGGTTCAAAGACCTCAACGAAGATTTACAGAGGATTATCTCCAAGCGAAGTTCACCACTGATTCAATAAGTGCCTTATCTGGATATATCCAAGCCCGCAGCTGGAAAGCAACCTACCAATGACTGGAGATACCTCATGCAAAAACTAATCATGGTTCTGAGCCACAAACCAATTCAAGAATGCCCACTCTCACCAATTCTTGTTAATTAGAATGTATTATACATCATCATCTACAGTACTTGGATTTGGTTGCTCCAAACAATCCGAACATATTCCCTATAGATTCCCTATAGATTCCCTATAGATTCCCCACATGTTGGTTTTCCAATGAGGAAAAACCAACACCTGAAGCAACATCGATGCATCCAGGAGGCCAACATTGCGGGGTTTCAGGCAACGCCTGCGTCTTGGACATGGCAAAGGCCTCTCCTTTACCTCGGGTCAGCCGTGCCTTTTTCCTTGGCTATGAAAATTGTGGGTTGAACACCCTGAAATCCTCTGGTTCATCAGAAATGTGTACCTATTATTCATAAGTGTACCGTTTTTATAAACCCCAGATGCTCCATGTATGGTATATTTACCTACATTTGGGTCATTTATGGGATAAATGTTGGTAAATATTCCATACATGGAGCATATGGGAACTGTTATTTTCTGGGTAAACGTATACCACCATTTTCAGACAAACCAATTTTCAATGAAAGTGAAAGGTGGCATCTGATAGTCAAGCCAAACTAGAATGCTTGGAAAACAAGCGTTTGTTCCGTGAAGATATGTGAGCAGAGTTCGAAACGCGTATCATGCCATGGTTCAAAGCTTGGTTAAGAACGGGATTCCCAGATTCCCAAAATATTCTCCATGATTGCTGTCGACTCTTGGCTGCATTTTTTGATCATATGAAAATCAACCGTTGAAGTTTGGGACTTTACTGTCATTGTCCAATTTACCCTCTGGTTATGACTAACAGTTCGCCATGGTATAGATGGCCCATAGAAATAGATAATGGATGGTTTTCTTATTGAAAATGGTGATTTTCCATGGCTATGTTCAATAACCAGATGGTAACCCAAGTTTTCATGATTTGCGAACGGTTCAGGCCAATCCACTGGTCATCAGCTTTGGATACATACCGCATCCTTAGGAATCAGTGGTTCACACCTGAAACATGTCCCAGTATGACAATGATAGAATCCGCATAATTAATTCTGACATAGTTATATAACATATATAGATATCACATATAAATTGTCCTGTTCAACAATGACCCCATGACCTCTTCAGACTTTGTTCGTTTTCCTGAGCCGTGTTGCTGATAGATCGGCGTCGTGCAGAGCTAGCCGACTTGGTTAACCAGCAGCCGTAGGGTGCCTCGGATTGAAAGGAGAAAATCATGGTGAACTATTAGCCACATCATGCCACATCATATCTAAATGTGGATAATTACCGAAGTTTCCGAAGGCTAAATCACATTTGTTGCTAGTCAGTATACATCCCCATGCATAGCCAAGGTCGCATCACACGTCAGTTTTTTTTGACTTCATTGAGTGTCTCATTGATATTTTGTTCCTCGAAGTATGGCTGAGAATAAACACAATCACCAACCAAAACATAGCCATCAATGTGCCGTGGAGACATGTTTCTGACTGTAGACTGCATAAAGACATCCGGCAATGCAACGTTGAAATGAGAAATCCACCATAAACGGGACTTTAAGTGGGAGAATAATAATAATAATAATATATATATATATAGATATACATATATAAATCATAGTGCTTGCAGAACATTAAGCAAATATTTTGCAGATGGAATGCCAAGTAGAATGTCAGAATAGAACTGCTGGGGATCGCCCGAAGAAAGTATGTTTTACCCCTTGCCAGATTTGACCACCAGAGGGTCTGTCATGATGTGACCTACGTTGGTCAATGATTGTAATCATCATAGTCAGAACATGTACTTACTAGGTGGATATATATATAATTATATATTATAATTGTATACATAATTATATATATATATATACCTCGGAACTCCTCCGATGCAAAAAATCCAGTGATTTAAGGTTTATGATCAAAATTACTGTTTTTTGGATTGAACCCAAAAAACGACTCAAATGCCTGAAATTCATGTTCTAAGAGGATGTAAGACGTACTGAATATGAAATATGTAATTCACAGTGTTTCACCCACACCTTAGCCATTTCTGTTCACTTTCCCTTTCCTTACCGCTGCACCTATGTGCTTTCTAGGAGGACCTGTATTATTTGATATGTTTGTGTGCATAGTGCATGCATGGACCATCAGTTTTGACACATTTTGACAATGTGGGATTGAGAGCATGTGTTTAGCAAAATCCTGTGACCCAAATTACCCGCAAAACGCCCGCAAAAATCCCGCAAACGCGCGCAAAAACTGTCAAACGCGCGCAAATCCTGATTTCTGGTCATTTAGGGTAATTTGAGTCGTTTTGCAAAGGACGCATTTTTGACCATGTTTGAAGGACAATGAGTTCAATCGCTCTCATGCCCATTCTGTCTGTTTGGGCTTACCAATTAAGCAGCAGGGCTTGCAACCCAGGACTGAACCGCTATTTTGGATTGATGGTTCCAGATGGGGCAATCATGATGCCCACAACCTGTTTCTCCAAAGATCGCCTTGTTTTCATTTTATGACTTCAAATCGCTGCGTTTTTCTATGAAACGCCTCATTACCTTAAACGCCTAGAATTTTCCATGCAATGGAAGCTTGAGGTATATATTGAACTATAACGTGTTTCTCGACATTCACACGTATGGCAAACATATGGTATCAATACGGAGACAAGCGCCCTTCACCACTGAAAAAATCACACCGGGGCGCTGAAAACTTGTTGTAAGGACTAGGAGTGACTTCACTGCCAAGGCAGGAGAGGTTTGCTGACCTTGGTCGGTGAGAAATCTGTCGCTGATCCAAGTGCAGAAAATCATCCAAAAAAAAATCTATTTATACAATGTACACAGATCGCAAAGTGGGGCCCCCTGGATAGCTAAGTTGGTTTATAATTCTTATAACTATGGTTTGTGATATATACTTATCACCATTAATTGGGTATATGATGGTTTTTGGTATCAACCCATAATGGGCATCCTTGCACATAACTCAATGTTAATGGAATGATGACCATCCCCCAAGATGGCTATAGACTATTTAATCCAACTTTTGAACATGGGACGTATGGATTTATGGTGCTGGTAGCTGCCTTCTCAGAAATCCCTTCGAAAATGATTATCATGGTAGATACCTCACTTAAAGAGTATGTGCTATCTGCAGATCCCAGTAACATCTCTACAAATTTCTTGCTACCGAACTTGGTTAACAAAAACTACGTCTCAATCAACATTCATTCTGTTTGCCGCAGGGTTTAGGCAGTGGAACTGGAAATCACTCAACCTGGGACTGCTATATTTGATGTTTAGGGGCACACAATTCATCTCATGTCAGGCCAGGATTCATAAGCCCTGGCTAGGGGAACCCCCACATAACTGGCTAGGAATGGGCACCATCTCTTGGCATTGGATGTGTTCATCCCCCGCAAGATAATGTATGATTGGCATCGGTCTGGGTCCGTTGCAAAGAAAAAACAAACATGTTTTCCAGTTTCAAAACCTGATATATACATATATGTAAATATACACATCTATGTATACATGTATGTGTATATATATATATTCTTATATATATATACATATGTAAATATATATACATATAAATGTATACATGCATATATGTATATATGCATATATGTAAACAATATGTATATAATTAATGATATATATATATATACATATGTATATGAATATATGCATCCATATTATATATATATGTATACATACATACATACATACATACATACATATATATATATATACATATATATATATATACATACATACATACATATATATATATACATATATATATATATATGTACACGTATGTACATATATATATATTTATATATATATAGTGGCTGCACCAGTTACTCAGCTTCTCAGCCACTCAGCCACCACCACCCCCACCCCCTAACCCCCCCGCCATCAGTCACTCTACTTTTGACGTATGTATGTACGTACGTATGTACGCACGTATGTATGTCTATGTATGTATGCAATGCAATGCAATGCAATGCAATGCAATGTAATGCAATGCAATGCAATGTAATGTAATGTATTTATGTATGTATGTCTGCGTGCGTGCGGGCGTGCGCGCGTGCGTGAGTGCGTGCGCATGCAGGCATATGGATGTATGTATGGATGTATGTATGTATGGATGGATGTATGCATGCACGCATATGTATGTATGTATGGATGGATGGATGGATGGATCGATGTATGCATGCATGCATGCATGCATATGTATGTATGTATGTGTGTATGCATGCATGCATGTATGTATGCATGTATGTATGTCTGCGTGCGTGCGTGCGTGAGTGCGTGCGCATGCATGCATGCATATGGATGTATGTATGGATGTATGTATGGATGGAAGGATGTATGCATGCATGCATGCATGCATATGGATGTATGTATGGATGTATAGATGGATGGAAGGATGTATGCATGCATGCATGCATGCATATGGATGTATGTATGGATGTATATATGGATGGATGGATGTATGCATGCATGCATATGTATGTCTGTATGGATGGATGGATGTATGCATGCATGCATATGTATGTATGTATGGATGGATGTATGCATGCATGCATGCATGCATATGTATGTATGCATGCATGCATGCATGCATGCATGCATGCATGCATATGTATGTATGTATGTATGGATGGATGGATGGATGGATGTATGCATGCATGCATATGTATGTATGGATGGATGGATGGATGCATGCATGCATATGTATGTATGTATGGATGGATGGATGCATGCATGCATGCATATGTACCAGTGTATGTATTTATGTATGTATGTATGTATGTTACACATATATACATATATATACTATATGGTACCACCCTCAAACACATTCAAACATCATTGAATATAATTATACATGCTATGATCCAGGCAATAGGTGGCTCAGAAAGCGTTAAGAATCTGAGGGGCTCTGGGGTTCAACCTTTCGACATCTTATCCAACGCTTTTTCTGTACCTAAGCTGTACCTCTGAAAAAGGTCACCCCTCAAAAAAATAGTTGGGTAAAATCACTTCCGGTTACCTATCTGGAAGCTTATACAGGAATTTGCTGATCATGGTCGATCATCATTTTCTGATGAAAAATAAGCATTTGGAAGGTATACCCCATTTTCAGACACACCCACATGAGTTTTTTCTGACCATGTTTGGACCACCCCTTACAAAATCGAACCATGTCCTCCCCATGGATCTTCAGCCGAAAGGCTTCACCGCATCATTGGCTTCAGATTCCTTAACGACAGAAACACCACCATTTTGACCACCTTGTAATGGTCATGAAGTGAGTCATCAAGTGAGTCATGAAGTGGGAATGTTAACAACTTTAATGTTTGAGAAGAGCAACTGTACACATGGAATAGAAGAATCACATTGCTAGTGAGATGAGAGGATCTCAACCAAGCTGGAAAAAACCGAACACCTTGCCCTTTCAGCTCTGGACAGCATGGCAGTTTGGTTTCTATCCGTTTGAATGAGTTGTTGCATAGGTGAGAAGAAAACAACTCTTCTAGTTTGGCCAGGTTTCCCTCAATTGAAATTAAGTGTCATTAATGCTGAGCCGCCCCCATACCATCAATGGGGTAACTTTCAGTGTACAACGTACATGGAGGATCTGGCAAGGAAATTTAGCATCATATTTGATATCGTATCGTCATAAGACCACTATCAATCCAGCATACATAAATATATATATATATCGTTCATTATATTTCTATTTGTGTAAAGTGAGGGACATACAAAACGTTTTTTGTGGATTTACTAGCCTGCCCTGGGCAAGAATCATTGGGTATAAAGCCGTTGGAGAGACCATGGGATGTAATGGGGATATAGAAACAACATGAGCCACAGTTTCCCACAGATGGATTTTTTTGACATTTGAAATTGGATGGTTGATTGTATAGAAATATCATTCAGATAAAATCAGAAAAAATACTTTACTTCGTGTGATCCCCACCATGACATTTATACATTTTGTTACTGGCAAATCTTCTGGCATTCTATCTGACATATTTTCTGGCATTCGATCTGGCATTCTATCTGGCATATCTTCTGGCATTCTACCTGGCATATCTTCTGGCAGATGTTCTGGCATATCTTCTGGCATATCTTCTGGCATATGTTCTGGCATATCTTCTGGCATTCCATCTGGCATTCTATCTGGCATATCTTCTGGCATATTATCTGGCAAATCTTCTGGCATTCCATCTGGCATTCTATCTAGCATATCTTCTGGCATATTATCTGGCAAATCTGCTGGCATTCTATCTGGCAAACATTCTGGCACTTTATCTGGCATATCTTCTGGCATTCTAGCTGACATTCTATCTGGCATTCTATCTGGCATACCTTCTGGCATTCTATCTGGCATATCTTCTAACATTCTATCTGGCATATCTTCTGGCACTCTATGTGGCATATCTTTTGGCGTGGATACTCGCGGTTGAGGTCCGGCAGGGAACACTGGGCGTGGATGGTCGTGGTTGAGGTCCGGCAGGGAACACTGGGCGGGGATACTCGCGGTTGAGGTCCGGCAGGGAACACTGGGCGTGGATGGTCGTGGTTGAGGTCCGGCAGGGAACACTGGGCGGGGATGGTCGTGGTTGAGGTCCGGCAGGGCACACTGACGTGGATGGTCGTGGTTGAGGTCCGGCAGGGAACACTGAGCATGGATGGTCGTGGTTGAGGTCCGACAGAGAACACTGTGGATCGCGGGTCGCAGTTGGACGAGGAGGACGAGGAGGAGGACGACGAGGAGGAGGAGGAGGAGAGGAGGAGGAGATGAGGAGGAGATGAGGAGGAGAGGAGAGGAGCAGGCAACTGACATAAAATCTAACAACCCTCACCTGGCAGGTGGGGAACTAGATAGCTAGATAGCCACTCAAATCGACAACTAATTAAAACAGCTAGATGCAAATCAAGATCAGCATTGCCAAGAACATAATATGTCAATAAATTTCATTCATTCATTTGGAATAATTAATCTTATGAACAGGTAGACCATGGTAGACCTATGACCTGTTCCAAGCTTCGATCTGTGGACTCTCCCCCGGCGGCAGCGGCACTGACTGCACCCGCTGCGGTCGCTCGCGTTTCATCTGCGCCAGGGTTGTCCTTGGTGGCAGCTAAAAGTGCTGGATCTTGGAAGGCTAAAATGTCGGGGGGTGGGGAGAATCCATCCAAACTGGTGGGTTTTTTTGCATGAAACATGCGTGTTCACTATAGGAAAAACATGTACAGTGTACAGTATCTTTAGAAGCAAAAATGAAGGAGATCGAACTGGGATAAACATGATATAATGATTTCCTATTTGGACATTTGGATTTGTCTCCATGAAACATCATGTGCACAGCCCTTAAGGTGCGCGCATCACATGGCTAGAGGCAGGTTTGAATGGTAGCTGTGCTCGCCTGTGGGTGGGTAGAACTTTGTGATTATATATCATTCTCAAAATGGGGTTGCTTACGGCAATTTGATGGGAAAAAAGACATGATTGATAAACCTGTGGATTATCCCCTATTACATCCTATTCAGACTCACCAAGACTGGAAGAAGTTGAGGATTTTTGTTGATTTTTTGTGAATGGGAAGAACCATCGGTTTTTTTACTTCTTCGGAAGAACCATCAATTCAGCTCGTGCTGGATTAACCAGGAAATTATGCTGGGAACATTTGGGAACCCGGTTGCAATTCAGTTCTATTACCCTCTGGTAAACGTTTACATAACTATGGAAAATCACCATTTTTAATGGGACAATCCACTATAAATGGTCATGTTCAATAGCTATATTAAATTACCAGAGGGTAACCACCCAATGTAGACTCATCTGAGACAGCATGACTCACTGTAAAGGTGCGAGTGGTGAAACACTGGTTCATAGCCTACTCAAGCTTCGGGGTTATGATGGTTGGGTAAGCTGGATCATGAAGGGGACTAAAACTGAGTAGAGTTTGGGGTACACCGAAGAATAGCAACAATATGCAACAGTCACCACCATCTCCATAGGGGTCATCTTCTGAGCCATGCTAGGACTATAAATCCTACTTGCGGTCTATGCAGCAAGTTCACCCACTCCTGGTTTCGTGGTTTCGCTGAATCTGGGTAAATCATTGTGATCACTGAACCCTCAAAAATGATATAATCCGCAAACGTCCATGAACATCCATGAAACCAGAAATAGGTGTTTATGCTTGATTCCACCCTCCCAAAACAATCATAACCTATGGCGAGGTCGGTGTGGTCCTGACTCATAGCACCAGCTCAAAGATTGCACCATTTTTTGAACCCAAGCACCCGTCATCCCCAAGTCCAGTTACCAAATCATCCATGGTAGGTTTATCTTTAGAACCTAAAATCACAGATGGCATGGTGATAGGTCCAAACCATAGATGCCATCTTTCGGAGAATGCACATCCAAAGCAAGCAATTTTGGCTGAAACTAACGGTGGTAGCGATTTTTGGTGGTTCATCCTTAGCACGGCTTGATGGAAAAATCACAATATTTGGACTCCCATAATTTACAGGGGATTTCCGAACCATGTTTCTACCAAAGGGTATCCCATTTGCACAGTTCATTACCTACCTACCAGGCAGGAGGAAGCAACATGTACCCAGCATATGAAGCCCAGCTTCAAGCTCGGAGCACCAAACGTGTCCTCAGTCAAACGTCAAACGGGTTTTCGCTGGCTCTTGAAATGACGAGTCATTTCTTCGTGCTTGGGGGGGTTGAGAAACCATAGAGATACAGGTGGAAAAAATGTTTCGATTGCCTTCAGGGTTCTTGTGAAATGTCATGAGGCAAAGACCGGATCTAAGTCAAGTTGGTCAAAAATGGCGCGTGGATTTTCAAGAACGATGCAAAGGAACACTCTATGGCCAGGATGAGACAGAGTCAATGGCAAAAAGACTGAATTCTAGCAGTCATGTGCTATATGTGCTCTAGAATTTCGAACGCTCGAACCAACAACAACAGCAAGTAAATGCAAGTATGTAATCATATAGCAGAATCGTAAAATCAATCATGGGATCGTTCGTCCTCTACCGCTACTGTGCATATTGGTCCAGCGACCGTCTCGGTGAAAGCCCGGTAATCGTCTAGGAAACCACCACCTGAATTGTGAAGGAAGGGCGTGAACGGCTGAGGGAATACTTGGATGGAAATCGCTGTTAGGAAATGGTTTATATAAGATATATAACATTATATAATAATATATACTACTATAGCACCATTAACTAAACTACAATTGTGGTTGTAATCCAGTTATGTCGTTCTATGATATCAAAGTTATGATCCAGTTAAGAGAATTGTGATGAATATGCAAATGGTTTCCTATACATTGAACGTGTATGTGCCCACTAAGAGTTTGCGGTAACACTGCCACTCCTTCAGTGAACAACAAACACCCAAGGTCTAGTTATATATGGTTATGGGTCATTGTGTCAAACCCTGGTATCCTAGGTATTCAAGGTCTAGCTTGTGAATCTATGTTGACTCCCCCAGTATGGTAAATCCTTGGCTAACTTGACCCGTCCACATATCATGCATTCTGGTACACACGAATTATCAATATACAGTTTTGGTGGCTGTTTGGTGCGGTTCTGGACGTTAATCCAACGACTTCCTGAGACTTTGTTCATGATGAAACTTCATGGGCCTAAATGTGCTACTGTGCTAATCCCGCTGGTAAACCAAATACGAAAAACCATCCGATACAATCCGCAATGTTATCAGAAAAAGGTGGTAACTGATCCACCCAACACATAGGGGATTGAATCCCAAGAAACACCCCGTTTCTGTACATACCTTGACCCTCACTTGACCCACCAAAAAATGGGTAAATCATGGTCAAGCAATAAAATTGATCACTTGTGGTATAAATGCAAATGCCATCTATATAAATACCATTGTTTTACGCATGAATTGAAGATATAGATTCGTTTTAGATCACCTCTTTGAAGTATAGTATATATGTAAACAACTAATTGTTGTGTTGTTTTGTGGTTGAAGCTATGACAATTACCATGGACAAACGTTTTGGTATGTTCCTTCCAAGAATGACTACTTTGAAGATTCAGCACTGGCCTGAATCAATGATCAATACCATCATAATGCAGCCCAAATCATTTGTGTACTGGCCATGGGAGCTGCTGTGGAGTTTACTTGTTATTTTTTCAATTCACCTGTGACATAGAAGCCTTTCTTTGAACAAACGTTTCACAACTTGGCCAGGGATCCGGAACCTCATCATTATTTGATGGACATCTATGAATCTGTATTGGGTTATCCCCCCATTTAACGTCGAACAAAAACATGAATTAACAACAAAAAAACACTATGGTATTTTGTCAGCTTATATCCGAAGATCTAATAGATCCTGTGAAATGATGGGATACCACCATATACCACCACTCACCAAAAGATCTCAATGTCCACTTGTGCAATGATTCTCTATTGGTATATTTCCATTCTATTGGCTGGTTTCCAGGTGTTCCCATTCTCGGCTATAGTAATCCCCATATAATTAGCTACGTAGTATATTAAACCCTACACCCATCATCCAAACATTCTCAATTCCAGCTCCATGATTGTTTCATGGTTGAAACACCTTGTTTCACACCTTATTTCACATCTTAAAACCCCATAGAAATCACTCTTCCAACCCATGTGTGATATCAACAGCCAGGTATGGATTTTTCATGGCGCCGTTGTGACTGGCCACTCTCAATGCCCGAGGCCGCTGGGCCCGCTGGACGTGCTTTCAGCTGTCGGACGTTCATGACCCTCGTTCCAGGTGACCTGCTCGCGACGGATGTCCGAGATGTCGAGGATGCAAACAGGCTACCCTAGGGCAAACTAACATAACACAACCATCACCGTTTGTAGACCATTGGACCGTTTGGATTTTCGAGAAACCAGGAATCCCATGTGTGATGTCGATGTGGAAACTAGAAATGGTGATTTTTGTACATCTACCAGCACATGCCAAGGGGTGCCGTAATGGCACCCCTTAGGGAGGGGGTGTCAAAATGGCGCTCCTTTATTTCTAAGGTGTTTCTCAACCTGTTTGGGGTCATCTGGGATATACATTTCATCTTTGTTATCTGAGGCCACGGAAGCAATGCTTTTGAGTTTTATTTCTGGCACCCCAAAAATGGCGCGTGTCAAACGTGTCATTTGCGTGTCGGGTGGATGTGCAGGGGGTGCCAAAACGCCACCCCTTTAGGCTAAGGGGTGTCGTTTTGGCGCCCCTTAATGCGTGTTGGCAGTGTGTCACTACCAGGGAGTCGCGTGTCATTTGCGTGTCGGAATTCCCCAAAATCAAAGTTTTTGTTGTTCAGCTCGTCTCCAACTATGTCTCCCAAAAATGGTGCTATGAACATCGTTATCACCATATCCTGTTGTGTTTTTTTGGTTCGGCTAAGGGGTGTCGAAACGTAGCCCCTTAAAGAACACTCGATAGGGGTTCCAAAACGTAGCCCCTTGGAAGGTCTTGGTATGTTAGTTTACCCTAAGGGTAAATGTAAAAAAAAAACACATATTTTTGGTGATTTAATTTCATATCACGTTCACATCTTGTCAGAGTATCTGCAGATGAAATATCCCCAATTGGGTGATGTTCAATGGAAACGACATTTACATACATTTACCAACCCTCGATTTAAGCAACAAAAAATGGAGACTTACATCGAATCCGTGGATACCCTTGGACTCACAGGGTTGTTTCCCCAGTGGATGGTGAATCCACTTCTCAGACTTCTCAGACTTCTCCGCATCACTCGACACCTGGTGTCTGATTGGGATTTGTGGATGTAAAAATCAGTTCATCCCCTGAAACACATGGGATGTAAATGTAAATCTGGTTGGGGATGAATGATGGTTAATGATGGTTAATGATGGTTAATGATGGTTAATGATGGCTAATAACTGGTTGGTGGTATACCTACCCCTCTGAAAAATATGCTCATCAGTTGGGATGATGACATTCCCAATATATGGAAAAATAAAACATGTTCCAAACCACCAATCAGGAATGCATTTAGCACGTTTAATAGGTTTTGACCCATCCCCAAGTGAGACAAACTTGGAGCTCAAGTCCAAGAGCTTCAACTCATGTTCCCTAGTCCTGCCCATGTTGGCGCCTTGCCCGTGATATCCTCCTCATGTCCTTGGCTGTTCCCGGGATCACAACGGAACGCTGTGAAGGTCGGAAAACTAAAACTGGTCATGCAACTTTAGACACAACAGAAGGAACACTTAATTTGATTCCAAACTATACAGAACAACTACATAGAATCATATATACAGTATAGAAACGAAACAATAAAGAGAAAACATACAACAGAGACAACATGGTTTCCTAATGTTTCCTAAACGAAGGGAGACACCACCAATTCCTAGCCTTTTTTTTTGGGACACCATTCATGGAACCCAGTCCCAAGTTATTGGGTAACCCATCACGACCGTTTCTTCTTAAAACCAAGTTGTGTGATCTTAAAACCAATGACCCGTTCCCAGCCATTGATCATCCAAAGTAATTTTTTAAGTGTCTAATCCACAACATGTTTTTTGGGACCCTGAAATCACTGGTCTTCATGGTGCACGGTGCACACCCCTAGATGTCAGAAGTGACCCCATCAAAAAGTGGAGTTGGGGTTGGGGTTGTCTCAAAATCGGGAACCCTTGGGAACCTCGAAAACAATTGATGTGTCATAATTGTCATATGCCATTTTCAGGGCATCGCCCAGTTTGATATATATATATATACACACACACCCATTTATATAAGTGCTCCTCAAACCATGTTTCACGGTCTTCATCGAACATCATGTAAAAGTCACAGCATCTATCCGGAGAAAAGCAACAGGCTGACCCATGATCTCCATGTTGTTTCCCAAAAATATGATAACTCATGATATATCAATCTGGTTGGTGGTTTTAACCATCTTGAAAAACTATTAGTCAATGGGAAGGATTATCCCATATACTATGCAAAATAAAAAAAATATTCCAAACCACCAACCAGCAATTTAATGGACAACGAAAATATCATATTGAAGCTCCTAGAAATGTCAGCTCGCATATAATTGGAAAGGAGAAACAACATATAGGCTTTCCTCGAAGTGGGCTGCTGTGAAACTTGGAACTCACGACTTCCCCGAGTTCCTCCTGCTTGGAGGGGCAGGTCAGTTTGAAGGTGAGCAACCCATAATAACTCATCTTATGCTGTGATACTAAGTTTTAATATATTACAAAACCAGTTGCCTAATCACAGCTACTGTCTGCGATTTTCATCGATTTTCCACTGCCGTCATGTCACTGCTTCATAGCACTCACCCAAACGCCGGTGCAGTTCCCAAAATTCCCTGGATACCACCTAGAGTGTGAGCATGAGGGAAAGTGACAAGTTGCATACATCTGCCAAGATTTCAAGTTGTCCAGACACGGACCAACTCATACGTATATCCAGAATTCCGGTATGAGATTAAGTCAAAGCCAATAGTCTTGAAACATACATGAGCAGCTCAAAAACAATCTGTGTCGTCCTTTTTTTACTGGTTGGTTGAGAACCGGAGTCCCCGAATGGACTCCGGACTGTGATTGTCTTCAAAATATTGACTGGTACAATCCCCTAGGAATCAGCAGAATCCCGCAGCAGAATCATCAGCCAATGGGAAATTTGACCCACGGGATATGAGGTGAAAGAAAAACATGTTTCCTCGTGTCAATCATCACAGGTAGAGGTGGAAAAGGAGAACATGGTATATATTCATAGCACCACACAAAACATAAAGACATATATTCCGGAAAGTAATAGAACATGAAATCCTATACTGAAAGACACTGAAACAGTCTGAAAGAGTGATAGATTATTCTTCTAACGGGGTATTAACTCAGGCACTGGTAGAGTACAAAAGTGCGTGGTTTCCTGTTGTGCATCTGTTTGATGGCACAAAACAAACATAGCTCACTGATCGTCCTGGAAGAAATGGGTCCCCAACATGTAGAGTAGACCTCTCATGATCCAGCAGATCCTCTAAAAAACAGCTCCAAACACCCAATCTGCTTGGTGGTTTCAATCCCTCTGAAAAATATGAAAGTCAGTTGGGATGATTTTCCATTCCCAATATATGGAAAAATAAAACATGTTCCAAACCACCAAACAGCAATATACAAGAATGCTGCCAGGAAACAGTTTTTCCCTGCAATCGTCGGCTTGTAGTCGCCATGTAACGAGTGGAACAAGCACAGGGATTTTTTTATCGCCACCTGCCGATCCCTGCAACACCTGCGGAGCATCTTGGCATCGGCTGGCATTTTGAATCACTATTCGGGACAGGTTCAAAGATAACCATAGGATCCATGTATGCTATATATGGTAACATTTACCATCAATATACCCCCAATGTTAGCATATATACCATACATGGATCCTATGGGATATTTAAAGCATTTTAAAGCTAGGTTGTGGACACACACACACAAACATCAGAGCAAACTATTTCATCTTTGTGGGCCATAACTCTGTACGCCTTGTCAAACTTACTGCATCCAGAAAGAACAGCTTGGGCCAGATAGAAACCCATGCGGAAACCAAGCCAGAAACAGAAACTTCTATGGCTACCCGGAACCCGAAGAGCTTCCATCTTTGGTGTGGGACATCCATGTTTTAAGCTCCAAATAGGTCAAAACCTGGTTTTTGCAGACTTTCTTTGGTTCCAGGTGCAGCCCGCTGCAACCCTATCTTTCTCCTTTTTTTTTCGTGGGGTCCACAGTAGACATGTGGCAGCACTTCATTGGGTCGGCCCAATGCCCGAAATTCATCGCGCCTTTGCGATGCGATCTAAAAGCAGAGCAGCAAGTGGCACAACTAAAATGTCTGCGGATGAAGTAGGTTGAAATACCCTAGGGTAAAGCCTACACCATTTGTAGATGATTTTCCGAACGGGCAACCATAGGGTTTTCCACATCTACCTGAGTTTACCCTAGGGTAACAAGTAACAAGTCAGGATTTGAATCGCAGTTGAAGACAGATTGTGATTAAGGCACCAGAGCTATCAGAAAATTAAGCAAGAAGAACTCTGATTCAACGATCATGAAACGCGAGAAGTAATTTGATGAACAGAAGAATATCAATTTGAGACCAAATTGTGGCATTCAAAAACATAATTTGCTCAGGGACCTGATTTTGACCCGTCCCTATTTCACATGACCATGACGATACAGTAACTCATAATTCCTGAGAACTGATCACGTTACATGGGTTATGGAAACGGAGGAGTTATGTCCAAGTTCCACGCACCACAAATAGTTTGTACATGTGTGCACAATCATTTGCAGCTTTACACAGTTTTTATTTAAACGCAGAATTTGCTGTTCAGAAAAAAAATAACAAATCACAAGGAAGAGTGAGTGGAGCTCCACACAGCATGAACAAACAAGCGACAGTTAAAAAAAACTAGTGGATAGATAATGTTTACTCAACAAACCCAAAACACAAAACAACACAGAGATTTGGTAATTTGGTGGTTCCCCCCACTTTTCATAGTGTTCCATTAGAAAAAAATGGTTGGCTTAACAATATGCGCGGTATTTTCTGCAATTAGCTGGTCAGCCAAACATTTGCTTCCATGTTGCCTATCAAAATAGAAGGTTGCTGGAAATTGTAAAATCTAGGAGAAAACCACAAATTCAGCCATTCCTCCCTGAACATCTAAATCCTATGTGTTGCCTTCTGCGCTCCATGTCTGGTATATTTATTTGGGGTCTTCTTGGATTCTTGGATCTTTTTGCATGTTATACGTATCTGTGTGTTTTGAAAGCCCTGGTTGTACCTGAGGAGCTATGTATAGTGATGTATGTGCTATGCCGTTCTCAAAACTTACAATTCCATACAATTCCTGAGACACACATCCCTGCGAAATCCAAGGACCCATCCCTGCCTCAGGTTTCTTTGTACACCACAGAACCATCTGCCAAACAGGTCAGATCTGGATGATGCCTGGAAGCACCCGAGACGGGTGCTTGTGGGTTTGGGCGAGAATGGGGGATATATACAACATCATGGTCATTTGTGTGATCCATTGGAATTTTAGGTTAGATATACCCTATCTTTGGACACATCAATTTTTCCATATGAAAGAGGCTTAACAGTTGGCTCGAAGAAATTTCGGATTCCGATAGAACATCATGGAAAGCCAACAGCTAATGGTTATACTGTGACCATGGCTACAACTATGATCATTGACCATGGGTGTAACAGCTTGGCAGGGTGATCTCTGGCTGAGCGAGGTGCTATTTCCACCATTCTTGGATGGCAATCCTCTTGATCTCCTGAGTTTCTGGTGCCAAAAAATGCTCTGAAATCACATGTTTTCTTCCCCCATGTCAAAAATAGTACAATTCCATACAATTCCAACATAGCAGTTATAAGTACTAAGCCACTAACCCCATGGTTTATGTATAATCCCATTGAAACAACCAGTTTTAACTAATAGACATGGCCAGACAAATCGTAGGCCAACTTGGCGAAGAACGTCGGCCTGGCAAAGACTTTGGGATGACTCCGAGCCAAGCTCTTGAAGGCATTCCTGGCGAGATTAGGTGATGGAATTGCCATGGGGTTGGAGACAATATCTTGAAGTATCTATATCTGCCATATAACTTGGAATTGTATGGTTGCCCCTCTTACGTATTACACTGCAATATATATATATATTATATGTACGGTATACATATCATAGATACCTACATTCTAGATCCGAATGCCTTGTGTTCGGGAGTGAACTAGGTTTAATCTGGATGATCAAGTAGCACCTCATCACCAAGTACCATCGAAAAGGCATCTAAAAAGCATATGGACCCGTAGGATCCCGTAGGTATGTGTAGCTGGCCTTGATTCCATTTATGTCTACATAAATATCAGGGGCATATATGAAATACCACGATATCATAAAATTCTGGCCCAGTGGCAACTTCTAATTGCATATCTCCACTCCCAGCGGATTCTGACATCGAATTTTCGGTGGATGTTTGACGCTGAATGCTCGGACTTTATAGAAACCGCCAAAAAAATAAACAAGATAGAACATAGAAAAGTGAAAATTTGGGAGATGACTATATTATATCTACCAATTTTGGGGATATATGAAATTAGAATGGTGATTTACTTTTCTATCCCAGATGCAACCCATGGTGCTGGTATATCTACCTACAAAACTGGGTGAATTTGTTAGGGCAAATGTTGGTAAATATTCCAGCACCATGGAGCATATGGGTATTATATCTAATCCATTGTTTTTTTGGCTGAATTTCATTTCATCCACCAAGAGTCTATGAATCCAGTCGTCCTCCAACTTCAAAAGTACAACAAAATCACATGCTGATCGTCGATTGCGTAGCTGGAGTAAGGAAATACATGGAAATAGCACATCCCACAAGGCGTGGACTGTTATGTCAACCAGCTTGGACAATATACCCTCCGGTAATCAAACGTGGCAATGCTGGATTTTCCCACCTAAAACCTCCATTTTTTAAGGGGATTTCCGATATCGCCATCAGAAAAAAAAACGAGCCAGGGTGACATGCCATAGGACCTTGGTTGCCATCCCGTGGCCATTGGGGATCGCTGATCATGGCATTTCATGGGGGTTTCCTAAGTCATGGGGGAGATGCCCAAAATGGATGGTTTATAATGGAAAATCCATCCATGGATGATGCCTGGGGGTACCCCCCTATTTTACCAAACCCCCATATAAAAACCCATATGGACATGGGATTGATGACCATCCCCCAGTCGGACTAGGTTGATCCAATCCAACTTTTGACCATGGCACACAGATGTTGATTGTTTTTGATATTGACATGACCATAATGTACGAATCATACAATGTAGTAAAGAGTTCAATATCTATTCGACTAGCCCACAAATTCTGGAAACATAGCACTTTGGCCCCCTCTTGATATCAAACAAATTGCTGAGGTACCCATGAAAGAACAGTTTGGTCATTTTAGGACCTGAAACGATCTATTGTCTTGCTTCACAAGAAGTTGGACGGTGACTGATGTGTTTTTTTTTGGGGGTTGTGCTCTAATCTCAAAAGAATCCAAAACATACCCTCTGGCAATTAACACAGCTATTGAAAATGGCCCAGTCGAAATAGTTGATTCACCCATTAATGGCATGGTGATTTTCCAGTTCGTTGTGTTAGCCCGTTGACCAGGCCGGGTAACTATTTTCATATTCCCATCATATTCCAATGATATTCCCATACCATTATTAACCATTAATAACCACTAATAACATCTAATAACCATTTGGGTTCCTAATAACAATTTGGCTTAATTATTACCCATAGTTATGTTAGTTAAATGGTGAATTTCCCATTAAAAATGGTGATTTTCCCTGCACCATGCCACACGGATTTCAATGAGATGTATAGAATACTCCTTCATGGGATGCCTCGACTTCCCGATCTCTGTGCCCGAACAACATCATTTTGTTCTCAGAGGCTGGCGGCCTATGGCTGGCTCTATTAAACCGTATGGGGGAAAAATTGGATTTCACCAACATAGGGATTCAATGCGATACGGATACATCAACAACACTATATAGTGGGGTTTATATTGCCATATTTTGATGGTGGCCATTTTTGGAGAAAACATGACAAAACCATATTATCATCGTGCTAGGTAAGGATGGAACACAATCTTTGGAACCACCAAGCGATTTATCATGGGCACCGCCACCCAATATCCTCTGCACGAATTCAATAGTTGCTCGGGGGTGGTTCGAAACTCGACACTGCAGCCGCTCATTTTCATGTCGAAGCTTTCTTCAACTCGTAGCCGTTTGGGCACTTCAGAATCCACCAGAAGTTGAGGCATAAAACAGTGAGCCACAGCATTTTTCTTGCATGTGCGGGCATAAATCAACAATGAACCATATGTATTCTATGTGTTTGTATATATAATATGCATGCAAACAAATGTAACCAAATATAAACACATATTATCAAGTGTGTATATGAAAATAACACATAAAAATAAAAATAATAACCATAATAATAACAATAATAATAGTATATAATAATTTAGATAATAATACTAATATTTATTATATGTATATATATATATGTTATTATTGTTAATATGCATGAGTTCTCATGGTAGTGTTGCAGGGAACATGACCCTGGAACAACCGCATGCAAAATCCAGGTTTGCGGTAGTCAACTCTGCAACTACAGGAGTTGTTGCAGTCCAACCAAACCAATCTAAAGTCACCCTGGCAATTCTTGAAGTCTGCTATTGAACAGCATTTTTTTGAACAGTAAATGTACAATCACTTTGTCAATGGAAAATTTCAGGATCCTAAAATGGAGGTACTGTACCATATAAGGCCATATTTTGTGGGGATATTCCCTTACATAGCCCTTACGTAAGCCTTATATATGGCAGGTACCTCCAATGAATCGGTTCCTGACAAAGGCATTACTCAGACGTGGCATTGCCCGTTCTTCTTGATCGTTCTCATCTCCTGCGTATCGCGGCCATCTGCACCGATGTAGAAATACAGCTGGGACACCAACTGAGCTGGGATTCTCCTATTAGATTATTATAACTGATTGGTGGTTTCAACCCCTCTGAAAATATGTCAGTTCGGATGATTATTCCCAATATATGGAAAAAAAACAGATGTTCCAAACCACCAACCAGATAATCTATATATTGGCTAATATAATCCCCTAAATCAGCAACCAACAGTGGTTTTGAACACTGCTGAACTGTTTTAGTACATGTTTGAACACCTTCAAACCGCACGTCTTGACGTCACTTTGGCCCCCTTCTTGTCCTTTTTCCCGCAAAAGATGACAGCGTCAGCTGGTAACTCTGGTAACTAGTGGAGCCGATTCCTTTCATGACTGATTGGACTGGGTCGTTTCAAATCATTCCTGAGGTCAGTGTGTACTTTTTTTTGGCCGGTATCATGTGCGAGATCTGAAATGATCTGAAAGGCTGAAAGGAGGTATCACTCCACGGGTGACAAAGCCTCCCTTTCAGCGTCGTTCTGAAATGATCTGAAAGGCTGAAAGGAGGTATCACGCCACGGGTGACAAAGCCTCCCTTTCAGCGTCGTTGCACAACGCCTCCCCCTGCTGAGGCCTCTTGGCGCTCATGGGGACAGCACAAAACACGGCCTGCACAAAACACAGGTCTGCCAAGGGCCAGAGTCTGCCTACCGTCCTGACCCAATGGATAGAAATCCAAATGGAATATGTAGATAAAAAGTTGGGGGACATTGAACTACTAAGTCAGTAACATGTACTCTTGATCTGGCATTTGACTAGACTAGCATTACCGCATTAAAAAACACACAACAGTAACAGTTTGGAATGGTCAGTATTACACAAAGCCCAGGCTTCCCCCGCGCTTCGTCTTTCATGAGAAAGGAAACAACAGCGAAACCAAACACGGCTAGTACGGGCTAGTCGGAGATGATGCGCCTGAAAAGTGGGGCATAATACGCAAGTATGTTCCCTTCATTGGAAACTTGTGAAAACTTGCTAAGCATCAGTCCATGAAGAGTCATTATAGTAAGTCGTTAATAACCATTGATCATTGTGTTACCAAGCAACAGTTTATGGTGGTCAGCTTCGCTGCCCTCAAACGATCACGGCGGCAAGACGCTCGTCAGTGTTTGGTCCACCAATATCGGCACAACCACCCATCGATGGATCCTGGCGGCCCACAAAATCACCTTCTGGAAGCGGAGTTGTGGCTATGGTAGGCGACATACATTTGATTGCTTTTCCCATAAAGATTATTGATATTATATATAACATATATATATACATACATTGCTACATTACAGCATATGGAAGTTTCCTAAAATGGAGGTACCCCCAAATTCGTGTTATTTCAACGGATTTTCCATTGTCCAGCTCTGGGGTACCCCCATTGATGGAAACCATATCTTGCTGCAAAAAAGAGGCTCCTCCGAGGCAAAAGCGGCCTCTAAGGCCTTGATGCTCCTGAAATCTCTAGGGCTCTGGAAAAATGGGACATATCATGGTTGCCCAACTATAGAAACCCGAAACGTTTGACACGATGGGAATCAGATATCACAAGAATCCCAATGTATGGAAACCAATGGGGACATCTGCTTCCTAGTATTCCCTAGTCTGAGATACCAAAAAAACATGGGCAAAATTTCTGGGATCCAATGCAACACAATCTCGTTGCTGATTTTCGGTTGCAAAGTTTAACCTGATCAAAGCAAATTCTCTCTTCTCTCTGCATCTTCCTGCACACAATGCACATAGAAGAATTCAAAGTCCAGCATATGGGTTTGTCCACAAATTGTATAGTACCGCCCTAAATCCCCTGGTCAATCATCATTTTCCCTATGGAAATGACGTAAATTAGTCAGGGTTCAGATAAGGGGGGAGGAGTTGTGCAGATGGTTTTGGTAGATACAAAGCGGAATGCATAGGGTGCACAACTACAAAATGCAGTGCATGTTGCTTTTTTTTGCAGCTACAAAATGAAGAACATAACTCTTTCTGCTCGGAAAATAATTCAAAACCAATACTACAAATTCCAATGCATCTGAAGTTAAAAAATAGCTGAACGTCGGAATTGCTAACATGATTTTTCCCAATGACATTTTGTAGTTGGGTCTTTGACATCCAAAGTTCCGACCAACATAAATTCGGAGAACATTTTGTAGTTGTCAATGATTGAATTTAGTTGGATCAAGTGTTGACCCCGTGCAGTTTTTGCTAGATGGCATTCTGTAGCTTCATGATCTGTTTGTGTCCATGTACATGTCACGCACTGTTTCCTTTTTTCCACCTCTTCTCACCTCTTCAAATGCAAAATGCAAATGAGATTTTATGTTGGATGCTTCAACTATTCAACTTGTACAACTACAAAATGCTAATGATATTTTATGTTGGATGCTTCAACTAACTCAACATATACAACTACAAAATGAAAATGATGATTTGAAAGGAATCAACTACAAAATGATTCCAAATACAAAATGGGGGGCACAACCCCTCCTGTTTGTACAAAAAAATCCTGGCTGGCAATCTGTACTGTAGCCCAAGTCCTCCCCATTTCGTAGCTGACATTTGAAGGTGGATGTAAATTACTCATTTTCAGACAAACCTATATATATATATATTTATATCCATATCCCTTTGGCTCCTTGTAAAGCCTTTCTTTTCCAGCACATCCGCCTTGCAGTACTTCAGGTAATCCTGATCCTTCAGCAAGCAATCCTGCAGCCAAGCCCCAGGCCAGATCCGTCGGTCGAGCCCAACGGAAATTCATCTGGCGACTGCCAAATGGGGCGCCTTGAATTCAGTGGTGTTTTCTTCAAAGATGTTCCAAGAATGGAGTAGATAGCCGCAATCTTTGACCAAGAAAACACAGTGTGAATAACTTAATATTATCACCCAGTTTTTTTGTCATATAGGAATCGAAAGCAGGTTGAACATTCCAGCATGTAGTGATGGAGGATTGTTGCCCAGTAGTTTTTCAGTTTCGAACGTGTCTATCCATTGGGGTTGCTGCACCTGAAACAAATAAGGTTACCATATGGGCGACAAAATGGCTACAATAACAGTCACTAGGACAAATCTGCAGCCCCATACGGTGACGACTACATACAACTATGAGGGGGATTCCTAAAGCAGGGGTACCTCAAATCATCTAAAATCAAACCAATTTAGTCCCAGGGTTTTGGGGCACCCTTATATTGGGGGAAACTCCATAAAGGGATTAACCTCCGGTACTCAGTGGACAATCAGCTATCTGTCTGTACATGATTGACCGTTTGAGAATGGTGACTCAACATATTCCGTTTCCAGCCTGGATTGCCAGATCAGGGTATGGAACAAAATTGGGATACCATTCTGTAGCCACAAGAATGGTCACTCCAAGTACAAAACCATCCACATTCGGTGGTTTTTAATCAGGTTCATCTTTTCAGCTCCATCTTTTCAGCTCCCTACCGGGTTGATATTTACCTATACCCTAAGTTGACCCGTCACAGGGGTCTATTTCAACGCTTACTAGAGCTAGAATAAGCTAGAATGACCATAGTTGTAGGGTCATTATATATTCTCAAAAAAATGATCCAACACACATACCCTAATAATCTAATAAGATCAACAAATCCCATTGGTATCATTAAAAAAAAAACACATCAACTAACGTGGGAAAGCCAATAATAAAACACAAACACCTACCATTTGGGGATAGTTAACACCACTTAAATAAACATTTCAAAACTGGCGATACCATTTGGGCCGTCATCATCGTCCGGCCTGGCGAATGGTCTTCACACGCTTCTTCAAAGACCAGGTGCAGCCAGAGGACCAGGCATCCTGCAGGCACAAAAATGGACCAACAGGGACCAACAACTGTTGGGGGGATAAGTTGAGTGCACCAACAGGACGAAAAGTTTACATATATGTATACCATTAGAAATAGTTTTTTTAGTTGATTTACAACCATTAGAAACGATTTTTTGAAATGGTGCTTTTATGGTGTTTTTTTTACTTGATGTTTACATAATTGGTTGGTGGTTTCCACCCCTCTGAACAATAGTAGTCAAATGGGATTATTGTTCCCAATATGAAAAATTAAAAACATCCAAACCACCAACCAGTAATTGGTTGTCTTCTGTTGGTGAAATCGACCGTTTGTCCTTGCCAGGTGCTTCGCCAGCTGGGCACCGACCTTTCTTGGGCAGCCCATACCTTGCAACCGAGGACACATGGGTTTGTCATGGTTTTCTGAAAATAGGGCACCCCGAATTCCAATGGATTCTCATCATTTTCCCTATATTTTCACATTGAAAAACTATGGGTATCCCCAATTTCAGGACACCTCCAAATTCGTGTTTTTTGTGAAGGATCAGTTCCAGCTTGGAACAAGATCAAACTAGAAGACTCCCAAACAAAGAGGTAAAACATCCATGGAAATCCCTAGAAATCTTCGCCTCAAATCAATGCCCGGTAGTACCAGGTAGTACCAGCTATAAGTCACTTCTAACGTCAGATATATGGAATGATAACCCTCTGGTAAATTAACATAGCTATTGAACATGACCATTTATAGTGGATTGTCCCATTAAAAATGGTGATTTTCCATAGTTATGTAAACGTTTACCAGAGGGTAACCCTATAGAAATCACCAAACCAATCCCTGCTGAATCGGGCTAAAAATTACCAATCACCGTGCCGAGTCGAGCAGCCAAAAGCCGACGTGGTTCTCCCGGACGCATCGGCCCTCCCCATCCCCTGCTGAAAAACTTCCTTCTCGGCCCACCAGACGGTCATCCCCGCCGAAGCAATGAGGCCCTGGTGGCTTGGTGTTGGGGTAACCGTTGCACGCAGCGTACCTTGGCGGTTGGCCGAAGTCTGTATAGTAAACACCACGAAAAAACATCCAAAAAAGGTAGAAACAGATGCCACACATCCTACTCAAAAAGTGGGAACTTACGATTATTGGAATTACTGGTAGTGCTTTGCTTGTTGCTGTACTAGAATGTGCATGAATTTGTCCTGTTCTGGGTACTATACTATTATACTCAACACTCCAAAAATGAATGACTGCCCAATCAGTTGATACCAAGCAGCTGTCCAAACGCTGGCGAGACTTCCAGAGAATAGCGTGAGATCCTTTGCAAACCCAGACATGTGTTTGAGCACAGCAGCTACCAAACCCATTGAACCTCTCCCCATTCTCCTAGGATTCACTTCCCAAATCATTCATTTATTGCACAGTTACGATTCTTCACCGACTTTAGCATATTATAAAAATTATATACACCCTACAGGCATGATCTTGGCTTGCAACAGCAGCAGGAGCACCAACAAATATCCTCCAATCTATCAGGCTCCAACATGAGGGCTATGGACCTCTTGGCCCATGTGGAGCACGCCATGCATTTACCAGAAACCATCTGGATGACTTCTAACTGGAGCCCAAGGAGCAAGGTGTAGTTGTGGTCTAAACGGCCCTCTTGATATAGCCGCATGGTGCAAATGAACAAAGCGTCACCCGGTAGATCCGCCACATTTTGGTCCTGAAAAAAGGGGGGAAACACAGATGCCCTCGGAGCCGCTTGATGTTGATCTTCCCTATTCCCAACTGCCAAGAAGGAGCGATGAAATGTGCATAAGACATACCCATGTTTACTGTTTCAAATACTTTTAAACGGTCATAATCAACATATGCATCTATCTATAATAATAATGCTACATATAATATAATATACATATATATATATATTATATTATATTATCACAATCAGGTAATCGTAGCGACTGTTCTATCTTTCCTTGGGACCCTGTGCAGGACGTGACATGCCCTGGCGGATTTGGTGATCCTCGATGTTGTAGTCGGCATGGGACATGCCCGGATGGAAAATGTACGCATCCTTGGCATCCGGATGCTGGACATGTGTTTCCTCAAGGTGAAGCTGTTAGAACCTGTTTATGCTAAGTTTGGGAAGCCCAAATGTTGAATTTATGTGTTGGAATCATCATGTTTTGGCCGCAAATCCTCCAATGGATTTACTTCAAAACAGATACAGGAAAGCATGATTCTTCATGAAGTTTACCTCAGACTCAAAATAGATAGTCAACTATAAAGCTTTCCTGCAGATGTTCCCTCAAACTTTCCATCACCATTCACACCAAGCATCCAAGGGCACAGGCGCCACCCCACGGCCGTTCTCACACGCTGGGGCGACGGAGTCGCAGATCTGGTGCTTCTGAAAGAGATACTCGGGCACCTTTTCAGCAGCGATTTGGGATGGGCGGATGGACCTGGACCTGGATCCGAAAAATTTCCAACCAGAAAAAAATAGGTACAACATGGCAAGAAAATGGTACACATTCTGGGAGAAAACGACTATTTTGATGTTTCTTGAAAGGTTGAGGTAATGTTCAAGGCTGGAGGATGGAGCTTCAGGATCACCTCCAGTCTTGCGAGGTATTTTTTTAAGATGCGCCGCAGCAGCGTCGGGGGGAGTAAGATGTTGCTCGGTGGAGTTGGCTAAGTTGTATATGTTGCTCTAAATAGCCTGTCAAAAGTCTAGGATGTGAAGATCCAAACATGCCAAGTCAAGAATGCGTGGGCCTTCCCATGAAACTTGAAACGTTTGGCAACTTGTCCCTCCTGATCAATATTCAATTAATGGAAATTTCACTCTTAACACCGCCCATGTTCGCGCAGACTCAGCAATAAGATGTTATATTGATGGAAGTGAAGGAAACCATGTAAAACACAATGAACCATGATCATTTGCAAAATGATCAAAGAATTACCCTCTGGTTATGACTAACATAGCCATGGAAAATCACCATTTTTAATAGGTAAACCATTTATTTCTATGGGCCATCTATACCATGGCGAACTGTTAGTCATAACCAAGTTGGGTAATTACTACTGGGTTTTCCGGAGAAACTCGGCCGCTTAAGCATCCCGAGATATCCCGAGGCCTCATGGCTTCCGGTGCTCAAGGTGCCAAAATGATAGGTGAAGTTATAGACATCTCCTCCACCTCTGTCCGGTTGGATCCGTCATAAAAAGGGCAGCTATTGAAGCCAGGGCCCCTTATATATCGATGATTTACCTAGCAGGGCCGTTCTTCCATCGTTATGTTAAACTACAACAGATAGTATCAAATAGTATACTGTATACTATTCTTGGTGGCTATTAGTGGTTTTTGTTGGATATTATTGATGGTTGAGGGCTAATTAAGGGATTACAAACCACCAACAAACCATAAACATGCATAAACCAGCAAATAATCAACACAAATCTTAGGCTTCGACTCGCGACGGGGTTATTTGAAATAGGGATTGGTTGGAGGTCTGAACCAAAAAAAACAGAAGGACGGAACTCCACACAACTCCATCGTAGGTGGCAGGAGATCAATTAAGAAAAAACAAGTAATCAATCCAACAAAGGTTTCCCACCAGATTGAAGAATACATCGACAGGAAATTGGCTTTGCTGACTGGTCAAAGTTAATAATATATATATATGTGTCCTTGACCATGAAGTAAGTGAGACGTCGCCCTTCAACGATGGTGTAAACCACAATGTCAGAAGTTGTTGGAAGATGTTGGAAGACGGGGATTTGGGATTTCGACTCCTTTCTCTGCTACCCAAAAGTACACTATAATATATATATATATTGTTTTTTTTATAATTAAATATATAGGTAGTAGGCTTAAACTGTGAAAAAATACACTTCATCATGAAATTAAAATATATTAAAATCAAAAACCCTTCAGAAAGATATATCAAACACAAATAACCATGCTCAGAGTGCAGACAAGGCACTGTTGTTCCTCGGAAGGGTCACATTCAACTCCACTGGATTGTTACCCTCTGAGCACAGGCTGATGTGCGACCCTTTCCTGAGATTATGTGTGGAACTTCGGAGTTGAGATATTGCATCCCGTTTTTTTTTGGAGGCGGAAAGCATCGTTTCGGGCTGGTGAATTCAAATGATATTCGATCGAAGAAAACAACAATTAAGTTGACATAACTTCAAGTAAGGTTGAACATGAAAAAAATACACCACCAACTAGTACTTGTTTGAGGGTAGAGTTCCAAAGTCGGGATTATGGTTTTCTGATTGCAAAAAGGGAACACATGGGAAAACTCATTTTTTTTACTTCTATGTACTGTTATGTACTTGTCAAATCTTGTCAGCATCCATTGTCTTTGGTTCTATCCTGGTCTACCTGCATGTTTGGTTGCGTTCACTTTTAATCCCTTTTGTAGTTGATTCTGGTTGGGCATATAGTCATATGCTGTTCTTGTCCCTGTTTAGCCCTCATGAAACACATGATTCGTTGGTTCTCCAGTTGTATCCCAATAGTTCTTGGGTAAACTGCAGTTTGCTGTGCCCATTTCTGATGATTGACACACCCCTTGATCTAGTGAATCCCCATTTGGTTTTCTTATGTTTTCTTGTACATGTACAGGTAAACTATATGGTAAACTCACCCATGTTTGTCTGTGATACCATCGTAGTCTTCAAAATCCAATCATCGGGAGGCTGTAGCCCGCCCAGTGGGCCAGCCCGCCGGCACGGGCGGCGATGCCCCGCCGCAAGGCGGGGCTTGAAGGGGTGGGTGAAGGAGCTCCGGCGCAAAGTCGTGCTAAAGAAACCGTTTTTACCCTCTGGTAATTTAACATAGCTATTGAAAATGGCCATGTTCAATGGGTAAATCCACTATAAATGGCCATTTTCAATAGCTATGTTAAATTACCAGAGGGTAATTCCAAGTTTTCAGATACAATGGAGCATTCTAGTGGTTTGATCCTCATTCGATCTCTTGAATATTCGGTTAATATTCAATGAATATGTGCAGATAAGTCCCCCTTATCCCGTTATGAGGGTAATGTAGTAAACCCAATGTCATAAGCCATCCCCAAAATCAAAATGAATGGTATATAAACCATCCCCAATTGTGGGAGTTGGAGTTGTGGCTGTGGGTTTCCCACAGTAATTTGATCCTCCTTCAACAATATCCATACTACATACATATCTATCTATATATATATATGTATATATATTATATTATCTGGGGTGGACTTGAGATAGTCTAAAAGTCCCTGATAGGTTTCTTAACAACAAAAAAACGCATAAACCATCATAAACGCAATCCCAGCTCCCTGGTCAACATGCTATGTAGTAAGCTGATCTGGCCAGATATTCTAAACTGGATGTACACATCTAGATGTGGCTCACTGACTAGGGAGATGTGAAAAATGGGAGGGCGACTTGTTCCGATATTAGATGTACTAGTAGTAAAGTATAGTAAAGTGCCTAATCGAGAAAATTGAGTAATTAAACTAAACTTAGAATAGTTTTGGTGCTCTTAAGATAGTCACTGCACACAGGAGAGGGGTCAGTTGCCCCTATCCCCTGTGCACTCCTGAGCGCTCCAGAGTGCACAGGGGCGAGGGGCAACTGACCCCTCTCCCGTGTGCAGTGACTATCTTAAGAGCAGCTACATACCACCCTTGACTAAAGTTCAGCATGTTCTGCATGTTCAAAGGTTTGAGCTGTGGTGGATTTGATAGTGTGACACGAGAGTTGAACAATTATTGGTTTATTACCCCATAGGGCGCTTTGGGTATTATGATGGATTGTGTTTTCGGGGGATGGTCACCATTCCTGGTAAAACAAAGTCCAACAATAATGATCATAACAATGATGATTAAAACCCATGGTGTAAGCCTGTCATGCCAATCCAATCCATGTGCTGATACTATTGGACTATGTTAAGCACAGCTCAGTTATACTATAATTCCATAATATGTTAAGTATAAGCCCAATATAATCTATTAACATTACACAGTATATATATATATAATATGGTGTTCCATTAATATGCCATTGACATGTCAAGTTTCAAGCGCAAGGCCCAAATAGTGCAGGGCCGTCCAGCCACCAGCCGCTGACCCCGGTAGGCCGACAGCTGAGGATTAGAGGCCCAGGAGAAGAAATCGGTAAATCCTCGAGGATGAGAATTGACAACAAAACATGTAGCATGTTTAATGGGAAGAGCCATCAAAACACGTATTTTAATAGTGATTTCAATGGGAATAGCCTTGACAATTGTTTTTTCTTTTTTTAATGGGGATTTAATGTGGAGATCAAAGGGATAACAATTAAAATGGGACTTGCTCATGGGATGTCATTAATCAAAGTAATGGTTACTCAATGAATTAACCAAGTATCAACTGATGACTGGGTTCTTGACCAAAAAAGAAAACAATTGCAACACAAATGTAAATTACAATGATGGCCTGTACGCGTTTCATTTTCTTTATTGGCAAAAGTTGGGAACTACTGTACAAGATGATATATGATATGACGATAGGTTACCAGAATCGAAGTATAGAATACAAGACAATAAAACCAACAACCAAGTATAGTAAGTGTTGGTGGCTGGCTGTCTTCAAACCTCAGCCCCTAACGATGCCACAACAAAAAGACTTTCACAAGCTAGTTGCCTAAGAATTCAGAAATTGGAAACTGAATAAACATGGATAGGTAAACATGGAACACGGAGAAAAACTCGGGGTTGGATGAATGGAACCCTTTATACGTTCTACAGCAGGAAAACATGTTCATCCTCATCCCCCCTTAAGCATCCTGTAACTATTGAGAGTATCTGAGAAATCATTACCCTCTGGTAAACTAACATAGCTATTGAAAATGGCCCAGTCGAAATAGTGGATTTTCCCATGAATGGCATGGTGATTTTCCAGTTCGTTATGTAAACGTTTACCAGAGGGTATATACTATTAATATTCCCATCATATTCCAATGATATTCCCATACCATTATGAACCATTAATAACCACTAACAACCATTTGGGTTCCTAATAACCATTTGGCTTAATATTACCCATAGATACCCATAGTTATGTTAGTTAAATGGTGAATTTCCCATTAAAAATGGTGATTTTCCCTGCACCATGCCACACCGATTTCTCTGGACCCAAACGCTTGGCCAAGCACCAAGCTATCGTGCAAACAAGCTTGTAACATTTTAACATATTTTAACACTACCAAATATCACCAATTACCTTTAATTATATACCCAGAATAACTATTCCATACAGCTACTGTAATTACCTTTAACCAGAACCAAAATGTTGGATTCAATATGCAACGGAATTCATTCCTATAATTGGTCAAGTGAGGATCAAGGCTATCCTACCCCATCAAGATCCCGAGCCAAGGTTTCCCAGAAGTGGGACATCCCAAGGTAGCGATTTAGAATTGTCCATGTCAAGCAATAGACCTTTTAATGACGTTTTAATCGCTGCCTTAGTTGTGATGAAGCATGATTAATTTGCGATGGGAAACCCACAATGTCATTGGATTGTCCATAAACTTCAGACCAGCAATACAAGTAGGCTGCGATAGTGATGGTCTCAAAAAAGGTTTCATAATTAATTGGTAATTCAATGGGGGTCAAACAGCTCTCCAAGAGCGATTCACAAAAATCGTCATCTGGTCAGCATGAAACATATTGATGAACAGGGATCATGATCCATGGAATCCATTTGAAGGGGTGGAAATAGAATGTACCATCTGGTTATGACTAACAGTTCGCCCCTGTAAAGATCCACCCATTTTTAAGTTCGGTAAACCATCTATTTCGATTAGGGCCATCTATACCATGGGGAACTGTTAGTCAGAACCAGGTTGGGTATCTCCAATAACCATTCAGTCTGGATCATCTGGATCTACCACAACTCCAACAAATACCATGTCTGGTCCGACTGGTCCCAACCAGGTCCTAACTTTCATGTGTGGTTTGTCAAAAACCGGGCTATGTACATGTATGTTGCTTGAATACATGGCAATCTGACTGGGGATTAACATTCGCATAAAATCGCATAACGTCCTAAAATTGCTGGAGTTTCGAGTGCAGTACCCGTGGGTACCCCATGTCACAATTGGTTGGGGTCCCTGCCCGGCTCTTTATGAAACCCCCATCTCTTCCCAGAGATCCTCCCCAGATCGCACAAGGATCTCTGCTGACCAAAGAAAGGCAGCACCCGACAGATGGGATGTTCACCACCAGTCATGACATAGGACTTGTTCTGCACAACCCTTGGGCCAGCTGGGCCAGCTGGGCCAGCTGGGCCGGCCGGAAACAAGATAGGCAGAATCTCTAGCATCCGACATTCGACATTCCAGTAAAAACAATTTTTGGGACTGCCATGTGAAATGTCATGGAATGTCATGGAAACATATGGAAACCCACACACCCACACACACTCCCAGACATCACGGTGCAGCCATGTCACAGATCCGTGGCATTGATCAGCAGATCGCCCAAACCCACACTGGGTCGCATGGTCTCTACTCGCATGGCCTGCTGATCCTTGTCCTGCGCAAAGAATCCGTTGCCAGTTTGATTGTAGCCTCAGCCATGGGGCAACACAAGGGGACATCTTGAAAATGGCAGACATGTTTTCAAATCAACAATTTTCTGTTTGGGGGTTTGAGACTGGTCTTGGGCAACTGCACTAATATCCTAGCCCAACCCTGTGTGTTACTGGAACAAGAGTGAGTGGCTTCGTGGGTCGAGATTCAATACACTCAGTGCAACAAAAACAAATCTGCGAACAAACATAGTTGATAGTTTATAGCTGTTTAGTATTACATATATATATAATTCCCGTTTATAGCGGATCATTAACATCTTCAAATGATTTAAAGTGTACCCATCCAAGGGCGACCCAGTCCGTTCCAAATTGGGTGCCTGTGTCAAAAGTGGTGAATTTCATCGGTGCGGAAAATCGCCCCGGAATCTTTGGACGCGCAGGTTCTGTCGCGTCGAGCTGCAGCACCTGAAAAAAACTGCACTGCACTGCAGTTGAGGCCCGAAATACCACTTGGAGGTCAGTTATAACCCCTATTGATGGAATGATAGCCCCATTCATGGAAGAACAGGTAAAGGGCTTTAACTGTGGACTATTAATGATAATTAAGTATTGTGGGATATGATGGACCTATGACATAAATTACCTATATACAATTCTTAATGTGGATAGAACGGGGATACAATTTTCAATTAAATCTTGGTTTTTCTTAGCAGCGGGGGCCATGGGACAACACAACCTCCCAGCAGCAACCAGACCAGCTGCTGTTGTTTGCTGCTGTTGTTTGCTGCACCAGCACCAGAACCAGCACTGCCACCACCACCAGCACCAGCAACAGCCACCAAAAACATCCAAAACAACAAGACAAAATAGAAGAAGAAGGAGAAGAAGAAGACGAAGAAACGAGAGGCCACCTTTCAAAGGTGATAAGAAGAAAATAACTCAGAAGATTCCCATTTAGAAATTTCACAAGAGTAACTCAGAAGTTTCTCGCTGGGAAGTTGTGTTGTCCCATGGCCCCCGCTGCTAAGAAAAGCCAAGAAATGAACCATAATTTGGGGAGGTTGATGGGGTAGTCAATGCCATAAACCACCCCCCAATGGCTTGCCACAAATAGCTGGGTCTTAGGGAAAAAATTGCGGGTTTCTTGTTGGTTTTAGGTGGTCCAAGGTAGCAAAATCAGCTCAACATATCTATACATGGTATGGCATATATGATCATGTGTTTTGTTCATGTGAACTTGCACATCAAGTGCATGCTACGCTGTGGCTGTCGGTTGGGGCATGTATTCATGGGTGGGGTGGGGTAGGGTGGGGTGGGGTGGGGTGAGGCATGTGTTAACGTTCGTGTGAACTTGCACATGAAGTAGATGCTACGCTGTGGCTGTCGGTTGGGGCATGTAATCATGGGTGGGGGTGGGTGGGGTGGGGTGGGGTAATAACGTCACTGGCTCTTTCACACACACGTCATGCTACGCTACTGTACGTTCTCTTGGACTTCCACGCATACGTCATGCTACGCTACTGTACGTTCTCTTGGACTTCCACGCATACGTCATGCTATGCTACTGTACGTTCTCTTGGACTTCCACGCATGCGTCATGCTACGCTACCGTAAGTCTTTGAAAGATTTCTTGCCAGCTCACATGGTTTTGAAATGCAAATAGCGTCGACATTCCACTTTGCACCCCTCCGTGAAACAATATGTGTTCATGTGGTGCTGGCGGTCAAACTTGCAGAATCCAGATCCTAAAAGGTTCTTGGAAGAACTTGAAGCGCTGCTGTGAACAAAAGACGGCTGAAAAATTGTGAAAACGAATTAGTTGGGGGCTTTGAAGAAAACCCCAAAATGGAGGTTTCGTGTAGGCGAAATGGCTGTTTTCACTTTTCTGCTTGGAACTAAGGCGTTCACGGCCTTTACACTTTACGCTAAAGTCGCACGAATTCCTATTGGCACAAGCACACACATGATCAACAACATCCCATGATTCAAAAAAACACACGGCCATCTAAAGGCCGTGCTCCAAGTTTGTTATATCAAGTGACTCTATGCTATCAACACTAATTAATGTATCAGTTGATTCCTGCAACATTTAGATTGGTTTCTAACCAAGAAGTGGACTAATAACCGATGCACAATTATGGTTAGTAGATTAGTACATATTAGTACTATATCATCATATCATACTATATCATTATTTTCATCAACACCAATATTCTATGGCAAGTTCAAGTACCAGATTGATTCTACCATCTCTGATCACACCGGGTCTGACTTCTCAACTTCCAATCAGCATTTCGACTCGTTTCATGTGGTACTGACGTGGGCCATTAGAGGCTCACATGTTTTTTTGCTCGGCGCAATCCCCATGTATAATCTAGTAGTATAATGAATACCACTCTATTCTATCCTATGTTGTTCACTCTCAAATCCATTTTCTTCTGATTAATTCCCAAGATTCCCGAGCAAAACCATTTTTTTGGGGGGATTTTGGGCATCAAAAACGCAACCTTCGAAGTCCGCCTGGGGATTTGCCGCATTCTCAGCCGCTCGGATCATGCTGCCCACTTCAGTCAGCACCCGCATCTGAGCAGGTGATGAGAGGTTTGGGGTGAAACCTCAGCACCTTAGAGCTGTTTGCAACAAAACTTATTATTGCTTCTTATACCATCTATTCTTAGACAATACCTAATGTATTCCATAATTAGTCTAACATGTTTCATGCAAATAGTCCATAATAAGCCCCACATACTTTGATTGACTGTATCCCAGTTTCCCAAAGTTTCGCAGTGCCTGATTGTCAAAAGGAGCTGGAAATGCCTCGGCTCGAAGGTGGAACACTGGGATTTGCTCAAGGGGTGCCCCCAATACCCAGGCCCATTCCCCAAGGGGTGGAGTTCCCATTGGGAAAATAAGCCAAGCATATCCCATAGGATCCAAGTATGCTATATATGGGAACATATGGCACCATTTACCATCAATATATCCCCAATGTTAGCATATATACCATACATGGATCCTATGGGTATCAAATCATCTTCAGCAAATTCAAGAAAAAAATAAAAAAGATGATGTACAGTGGATCCAACAGGAATGGAATTGCAAACAGTATCCTTCTGGAAACCTTCAGCACTTACGCTTTGAAGCATGGCTTGCTGGGAAAGACCCCCATTTCAACAGGAACATGTTCCATACTTGCCACCTCCAAAGATGTGACTCAACGTTGCCAGGGAAAAAAAAAACAACGGCAACCCACAGTGGGAAAAAAGCAATTACAGAACATAAGCTAGCAACATCAAGCAATATGTGTTTGATCTCAGAAAACTACTTAGGACAATTAAGATACACTATCCATGTGGTTGGAAAACTCGTGGTAGCTCCTTGGATCCCCATTTAATAGGGAACATGGATACTCATAGCCCATAGCTCCTTAGCTCCCTTCTAACCACCGGATAGGAAATTAAGATACCCCAGGCATGGCAGCGGAGCCAACAGCAGGTTTCCTACAAGATCGTGGGCTCGTGTGGGCTCCACTGCAGTGTAGTGCTTCTCTACATCTTATGAGGAAGCAAACCAAAACGTCAACAATAGTTCATGGTGAGAGTGTGCGAAAATCTTAGCTGCCCAAGTTGCAAAAGCCAAAAGGTGGAGGGTCCCACAGGTGCCTAGCCATAGCTTAAGCACGCGCATGTTGCGTCGCGGGTCGCAGGCCCCCAAAAAAGTGCGACACTGCGGAGCTGCGGAGAATAATCGTTTTGGTCGACAAGGCAAACAGATGGGATCCACCACACGAACAAAAGAGACATTGGTTTCCTACGCAAACAACCATTTGCATTCACAAAATTGAGGGGTACAAATGTCTGAAGCTGGCGACCTAATGTAAAACTAAGTGAAGCAAACATGTTAACCCTGTCAGGACAAGAACGATAGACCTTGTCGCAAACAATCGCCCATATAAGTTTGGAAAGGAATCGAGACATACTCATACGTAGGCATTTGCATAATATAATGAACATGTTTGATCAGTATCAGTACTGATTAAGGCTTAATGTTTAAGGGCATACATGGAGCAGCTAAGCATGATATAGCATGATATCACCAGCAACCATAAGGGGTGTATGTATGTATATATATATATGATATGTAGTGTTTACGGATCAGCCAGAGATTAGAGTATCAGAAAGATCTAAAAAATGTATTGGAGAGAAATCAATGATGACGAGGCGCTTGTTGATGTTTTCACAGTTTCCACATATACAGAATGGTGTATCCACTGGTTTCCGCGCAAAGGATGGTCCTGAAGACTCGCAAATGATTTATTTACCCCTCCAGGAAATTCATCTATCTATATTAACATGAATAGTTATTATTATATATGTGTATATATATAATTAATTCATATATATATATATATATACACGTATATACATATATATATATAAATAATCATTTAAAGATACGGAAGACCCACACATCACAAATGGTGTAGAAAAGATCTCGGGAAATCACCGGAATTCTCATACAGTGCAGCGAGAAATGACTCATGACTCGGTCGTCCACAAGGTCAGACACTGAAAGGCACGACCCCAGAGTTAGCTAAGTTGGTATTTATAACTAGTTAGCTAAGTTGATATATTAAGTTGGTGGTTGTTTGAAATATCTATATAATAGAGTCAAGGCCAGTTAATGAACAGGTAGGCACTACATTGTAGGTCTTACGCCCAACTAGTTCTTGGCAACAAACATGTGAATTTTGCCAAGTTGTGAACAACTTCTTTTTGAGGCTAACAGCCAAAACCTCCAAACATCATAGAGTCTGGAGGTGAACAACCCCTGAAATACTAAATACTGATAGCCGGGCTGTTTCTTGCTTCTTGCTTCGGGGTGACTTTTGCGTAGCTGGGAGTCCCATCAGAACACAGCCATGGCTCTTTTCTCCCTTACAAGTTGTAGCTCATCGCCAGGAGTGGAATGAAATCCTCAGCACTCCAGGCACTCCAGCTTGGTCGAGGCATATGACGGCCATATCAGGACTATGTCGATACGGCCCTCAATGCTGAAAGATCGCAGCATTGCAAGCGGGGAGAACTCGAAATCGATCGGTCTCCGAAACAGGACGCCTACTGGCCTACTTCTCCATGATTCATAAACAAGTAGTGGTGACAAAGGATACAAAGGCAATCTTGACGTTGTCTTTCTAGATTGGCATGGAGATGCAGTGGCAAGGTCAACAAAGTGGCCACATTTCACTTCACTGTTCGCAGGGTTCCCCCCAAAAGGGAGCGCGCGCTGTTGGGCCTGTTGGGTCCTCATGCGCGTTGCGCTTCACCCAACGAATCTTTTGTGAAAGTGGTCGCTGCTAGGCTGCTAGGCCTTTTGGCCCCCTGGATAGGCCTCGAGCGGATGCAAAGATTCATTTCCGGTTTCAAGACAGGATTGAATTAGACTCCTTCCCAAAACTAGAATATTGATATATTGGTACCACAAGAAATCTATTCATGATTAAGGGGTCGCTAATATCGGGGTACGGAATATGATCCATGTGATCATATCATGGAAAGACCTAAACGATCTCCACAACACGTAATCACGTGCAACACTTTAGGATTCCAAAAAGTTTGTAGACGTACAATCCCTATTTGATGAATGCTTGATATACAATATCATACACATATTAAATCAATATATATATATACATATTTACAAAATGTATATAATTATTGATATATATATATACATATATAATCATATGTAATCTATAAACCCCTGACTGAACCTCTCCCAATCATAACCATCCTTCTACACCTACCGGACCCAGTCCGACTGTGCCTCACGGGGAGTTGGCGGTGTTGCTGATGCCCACGAGTTTCACATCTGAGGAGCCCAGTTTTCCCTTGTCCGCCTCCACGGCTTTGGGTTTCGCCACCTGGCTGCCACCGGTTTGGGTGTGGACAACCACAAATGCATCTTGAATGCATACTAGAGACTCATCACTTACCTAGATGGTTGTGAATTTCAAGGGTTTATAAATGAAAATACGGGACTCCCAAATCCAATGAGTTTTTTCCCAGAAATGTGGGGATCCGCCATTTCTGCACATCTCCAATGTGGGGATGCCCATTTTGTTTCCCTCAACCAACTTGGATTTCCCGGGAAACCTACTTTAATCATGCACTTTGTACGTTTTTGTTTCTTAAAATTCTGTCATGACTAATTTAGCCAGAGTATTCCCACACATATTCCCAACTTCAGCAATTCCAGCTAAAGTCAGAAAGTCCGGGTCATCCGTAGTCAAGTTCTAGGCCCCACAGCAAAGTCGGGTATCATCTTCCAACAGTTGTCAGTGAAAATCAAAACTATTGCGAAGAGCTAGGTGAGTGCGAACAAATCATGGGGGATACAATGGGATACAATAATGTCATAAACAAATTGGTATGTTTTGCAATGTTTCACGCTGAAACTATATCCTGACCTAGTAAAACAAAGGTGTGATGTTGATTTATATTTCAAATGTCAAGTCGATGAGAACAACAATGTACTACAATGTGGGGTCTCCTATAGTTATTTTTGTTGGTCTATAATCCCATCTAACTATAGTATATTATTATATGTATTACTGCCATAAATCCAAAGGTTAACCAAGTTATTTGCACCAACTTAGCTATCGTGACAGACGCCGCACCTTGCCAGCCAGGCCATAGATGCGAACCAAAATCACCACCAAGAGGGCCAGCAAGAAGGCACCTTTTGTCAAAGGGATGCGGATAAATAGACATATGGATATATATATATAATAATAATAATGATTATTATTATTATTACTGTTATTGTTGTTGTTATTATTAAATTATTATTATTATTGTATTTATGGGATATGTATACATACATATTGATGGAGAAGGATATCATATTCAACAATCAATGGTGGATAGTAAATGACAATAGATGCGAAATCATTTGTTTTAATCAAATCAATCATATTCGGATACACTGGATAATTTATATATATATATAAAATAATCATAATCAATTATATATAAAATATGATTATAATCAATTATATATATAATTATAATTAATTATATTTAATTATGATTAATCAATTATATATATATATATATGTATATATATACATAAATATATATATATATATACATAATTATAATTAATTATATATATATTTATTATAATTAATTATATATAGTTATATATATAATTATATATATATATGATGTTGGAAACATAGATCATAGATCCTGCATGATCCTGCCAAAAAGAGACAGAAGAGAACTTTTTCCGCTAAAGTCGCCAATTCTAAGGGGTGTGTTAGCTTGGGGGATGGTATATTAACTGCTGTTATCATCGAACAGGCCAAAGAGTCATGGTCAATCTTTGGTAGTCCACGAAAAGAAACAAGTAATCTTTTGCTGGCTATGGCTGTTTTCCATTCATAGCAAAAAACTAAAGCATTACTTTTCTACCTATCCAGTTGGTTGTGGAGGGAGCCACGAATGGGGATGTCTTGCTAATTCCATGGTCTATCAATGGGTTTAACGGATGTGAACCAATGGGCCTTCTTCCTCCACTCTGGGTCAAAATAGCGGCATGTCAACACAGATGAGAACATCAGGAACTACTGCAACCCAAGAAGTGGGATACTTTTTATCATTCACTGGTCGATGTACCCTGCATGATACATGTTTATAATATATATATATATATACCATATATCATGTATGATCCAGGGCATTTCGCCCGCCTGCGAGTAGCCATGCCCTAATACCAGTGTGGCTTGTAATCTTGAGTATCGAGGTATGATCCCACTTCTCAGCACCAATCCACAACCTGATCACCACGGAATTGATGCATGCGGGTTCCAAAAAAGGGGGTACTCCAAAATCATCCTTTCTTTTTACGCGAGAAACGCATGGCTTGGGTGCCCTATTTTTAGAAACCTCCCTATGGGTTTGCCTAGAGAAAAAACACATCCGAAACGAAGAATTGTGCCTAAAATTTGATGGCCATTGGTAGTACAATATGTGGCAAACGATATTGGTTAGCAACTGGTTGAATTGATTCTAGCATCTAGTTATTTAACAGTTCGCCATGGAAAATCCAACCATGCTATTAAGTTCGGTAAAACCACATCTATTTCGATTAGGGCCATCTAAAATACCATGGCGAGCTGTTAGTCATAACCAGGTTGGGTAACCACCATTCATTCACCATTAGCCGTTAATAACCTCCATTAATCACCATTAATCACCATTAATCACTGTTAAATAACCAGAGGGTAATTGTACACAAGCTCATTGTGTGGTTTCTCCCATGGGATACCCCACGTACATCCACACTGACGGAGGTGAATCATTTTTCTCGCCAAGGAGCAAAGGTTGAACACGGAAGATCCTGCGAGAAAAATAAAACACGTCGGCGCTTGTGCTCCCAAATGGGATAGTGCTTGATTGAATCTAAAGTTGGAAAAACACACCCCCAAATGGGATAGTGCTTGATTGAATGTAAAGAAAAACACATATTGATAGTTGATTCTTGCATATTCTTGCAATCATCAAGTTGGAAAAAACATACGGAATCATTAGCCTGGCTTATTGTCTGCATGGAATGATGATTGTCACACGGTTGGAGGGGAAATTGATGATGTAGTTGGTTCACTTAGAGACAGAAAGAAAGGCTATGGCGGCTATGGATCAAGCATGTCTCATGGCTATAGTGTGTGATAACTTCCCCTGTCTGCTTTGAATGCTGGGATATGCTGGGTATTTCCGAAACACTGCGGACAAAGCAGCTTGGAAACTAGGCTGCCAGACGCCAATGTGAGCCAAATCCATGAAAAAATGCAGGATGGCAATCTAAGCTGAGCACCACTCATTCATGCAATCCCATGGAAAGCATCTCAACCAGGGACCGGAGCAGATCCCTAAAAATCGGTGAAGGTTCAATGTTTTAAGAACACTGTGAACAGGACTTTCCTCCGAGATAGTCAAGCTAGTTTAGAACAATATCATTATAGTATAGGATCGATGGTGGATACAATACAGTTCAATGGATGAATTCAAACCAACTTTTTATTGGGAGACTCTGCGCCCAGTTGTACATTGGTTTACAATTCGATTCAACTCTAGCTCTGTTTCACCATAAATCCACGAGTTGTTAGACTTCTACATCAACACAACTTTCTTGTTATAAATTTACATCACTAATAATGTGGTGAAAACGATAGTAAACCGTCCTCCAAATCACCATTTTAAAGGTGGCATGGTTACCATTCCCAGTCATAGCTGTTTTAATCGCATTAATATTTTATAATCACACATAACTCTGAATCTATAATATCTGATCTCATCATTTTCAGTCATAACTCACTTATCCTGGTTGGTGGTGTCAACCCCTCTGAAAAATATGAAAGTCAGTTGGGATGATTCTTCCCAATATATGGAAATATAAAATTCATGTTCCAAACCACCAACCAGCCAGTTATATTCCATTACCAGAGGGTTAATCACCATTAATCACCATTAAATCACCATTAATATCTCTATTATAGATTAATAACCATTATAGTATACTATATATTATATATACTATAGTAACTATAGTATACCTATATATACTCACTGTTCAGTCCATGTTTGGCTCGCTCTGCCCCTTGCTTTCCCGCCCAAGACGCCCAGATCCTGCGGCAATCTGTCCCAAGAAGATCACGATCACCGCGAGGGCCTCTCAGTTGACAACGAGTTCAGAATTAGTTAATATGTCTACATCATATTTTAGTGTCTTCAATTATGTCCATGATATTATAGTTCATTGTTATTCCATTTCTTTTTCAAAATTTATTGACACAACTGACATAAGTGTCCCTGGTGAGCCATCCAATCTTTGGAAAGCACGCCTCACCCACATTCTTTTGGATACCATCCAAGGACTTCAACAGGTAAAGCCTGGGCGCGGCCATCGAACAGGAATGGAACTGGGAAGCCACACACGCACACGTCACTAGCCTCTGGTAATGACTAACATAGCTATTGAAAATGGCTAATCGTTGATTTTCCCATTGAAAACTTGGCATTTTCAATAGCTACGTTAAAATAATTACCAGAGGGTAGTCACTAGGTACAAACGTTTTGCATATCTCAGGCATAAGTGGGGACATAAATCCCTAAGATCTCGTCGCAGCAACGCCCAACTGCCCGGCCATCTTTCATGATCATCAGCCCATCTTTCTGGGGATGAACCAAAAGAGAACCAACTCCCTGTTGCGGATGGCTTCCACCACAAATTTATGATACACTTGAGAATATGAATTTATATATTTATATATGTGATATAATAATTTAATATAATATAAAATAATATATAATAATTTAATATAATATAATAATATAAAATATAATATAATTTAATATAATATAATAAAATAAAATATAATATAATTTAATATAATATAATATAAGATAATCAAATATAATATAATAATATAACATAATATAACATAATATAATGTAATACAATAAAATAAAATATAATATAATATATAATAATTTAATATAATATAATATAATATAATATAATATATTTACATATGTATATATATGTTTGTGTTCCATGTGCACATATGTACATACGTGTATATATATATATGTATGTATATATATATATATATATTGGGTTTAAGCATACCACAAGAATTTGAAGCCACAAACAAAACAACATAGCTTTGCAGCTTTGTTAAAGACAGAAAACAAACACATTCAGTTTTCAAAACACTAAACCTTCATTATTTATAAATACATATATGTATGTTATATATATATATATATGTTAACACTGATTTGAAATGTTGTGTGCGTCCCAGCAGCGTAATCAAGGACTTGGAAGTGAACGACAAGGTCACGATCCAGGTGGCCATGGTCCAGTGATCGAAGAAGCCCGCGGCCTGGCTGACCTTGTAGGATGGCCTTGGGAACAACGGTGAAAACCAGCGGAACAACAACGGAACATGCTGGCAAAATACAATAAGTACTATATATATTATATTATATAGATATAACACAATATATATATATATATGTATATATTTTAAATAGATAATATAGATATATGATATAAACATGTATATAGATAATTATAGATATACATATACCTCTACACATGATGTGTGTTTCTGTTGACATACAAAAAAAAACATCCTCAGGTTTGGGCAAGGCTGACATCCTGAAACCATGTTTGGTTGGATAAATCCCCAGGTCATGAGCCAAGTCCAAGTGTCCATGATCGTGAGCTGAACAACTAAAGCGAGGAACCATTGTGACTGTTTTTGCTCGGATCAATCACATGTTTTGCTGATTTTGTTCAGAACAAGTTTGGCTCAATATGCGAAAAACCAGCATCATTCACCAACATAAAAGAAGGTCATCCGCAAATGATTCCAAACCTTCATTTAGGTCGTGTCGCTACAAGTGGGACTCCCATCCAATCTTAGATACCCTGCCCAGCAAATATCTTTAGCTCTTTAGCAGCAATTCTCCATTTGCAGTTCAGAGCAAATATATATATATATAAATAAGTGGTACCAAGCTGAAAAAAAAACTATATATTGCTGTACTTCACGAATCTAAAAAGTTTGGCCACGAATAGGGATGATTCACCCAATCCCGACCATCATTTCCAGTAACCTATGCAAATGAGTTTGCTTTTACTCATAAATTCCCCTTACATGGGTGTGTCTAAAAATGGGTATACCATCAAATGGAAAATGATGATAAACCATCACATTGTGGGAGTATCCTATTTTCAGACAAAGCCACTAAGCCCACTAAGCCACTAAGTGGATGAAAATACCACATCATGTTCAATGTTCACGGTAAAATCACAATGTTCTTCATGATCTTCCCAAACATATCCTGATCAAACCCTTCAAAATGGCATAAAATGGCCATGTCATGCCATGTGCATCGGACTTCCGGACGTGTTTCAGGCGAAACGCTGGACATCTGGTTCCATGACGGCGGCAATGGCCACAGAGGCAATGACGCGGGAGAGGGACATCAGGGACAGCTTGGCCGACATGGACATGCCTCGGTGAAACCCGGTGAAATCCCGGCATTGCGGCATCGATTCAATCCGGAGATTCGTGAAATATGTCGTCGGGTTTTTTGGATCGGGATATTTTCTGGTAAACGTTTATGTAACGAACTGGAAAATCACCATGTTTAATGGGTAAATCCACTATAAATCACCATTTTCAATAGCAAACTGTTTGTTTACCAGCGGGTATTTTGTTTGAACCCTTCAATTCTTGGGATTCGAACGCTATATCCACAGTATCATCATTGTTGCATCGGGTCAATGGCTTTCATACCGTCTTATACCAAGACACAAACGTAATTTTCTAAGATTGCTGATACCGCAGATCACTATATAACCAATTCAGGCCCATTTGCATGCGTGTCCATGTTGGTTGTTTATGAATCCATCTTTCGGTGGTATATGGGTGTGTCTGAAACTGGAGTATATCCCACAAATGTAAATTCTAATTGGAAGATGATTGCCATTTTATTTAGGGATATCCTATTCTCAAAGCAAGATCAGAATCAGTCTATGTCCTAGTTGATGCCAGTGAACATCACATTTATGGTGATGTTTATGGTGATGTCATAATTGAGCAGTGTCGAGTCGTGTCGAGCAATGCCAAGACCACAATCATCCCCAGACCACTGCTGTTTGAGGACGGGATTCTCAGTCCCTAGGTTAACATCCTCCATGCTCAGGAAACCAGTTAGATCATCCCTAGCGGCCCTAGCTTTCACCGACAACCAGCAGGGTTCAACTGCCATTACTTACCTGAAAACGCATGTCTCAACAATTGAGCACCAAAAGGACCCAAATACTATGTGCAATTTTGGATACCCTGGAAAAGACTGGTTAGTATAAATTTAGAATTAAATTTAGCATATCTATATAACCAATTGCAGCAAAAGATTGAAGTACTACATTAGCCACCCAGGTCTACCTACGTATACATCATCATATTCCCATGAAATTCCAAGCAGTTGTTGCTTAAAACATCTGGAAAATCCTAAATCATTGAAGTTTTGATGATTCAACCCCTCATGATCCTAAAAAACTCCTATGTCCTTCCCATCGTTTTCTCCCTGCAAGGTGGGGCACCCAAGTTCGAAGTAGCTAGTTAGATATACGATATATCTACCACACACTTCTAGATTAACCCACTGATTTGCAGCAACTTAGCTATCGCTTCAGCCCCCCAAAAAAATCTATGATTCAATAATATTCAATAATGAAATCCCTCCGTTTGATGCTGAAAACAGCACCTTCTTACTATACAAATCCTATTAAATCCCATGACAAATCCTCATACAATCTGATTAAATCCATTAAAATCCCGTTAAATCTTTGTAAAATCCCATGAGCTCCCATTAAGACCACCATTTGTGACGAAAAAAAATCCTGCAGCAAAACGTTGACCCGGTTGACCCGTCCGCGCCGAGCTGCTGCTGAAGCCCTTCAACTTGGCATCCGACAAGACGGCAGCATAGCAGGACACGCCCACCTTGAACAGCACCATGGCCTCGTTGAGGTTCAGGACGACGACCCACAAGTGGTGGTTTTTGAACCAAAAAAAGGATATCTAACCGTTGGAAATAGGGCATTTATGTGGAGAAATGCTGGATTGATGTAGATTGATTTGGATTTGACATGACATCTAGCCATTAGAAATGTGGATTTAATTGGATTTTCAGACTTTGTAGTTTCAGACGGTATGTGTAATGATCAAATAATTTAGTTTATTGCCAATTTTCAAGATTTCGAACATTTTGTAGCGTTGCTATTTTTCTTAAAGCTATCTTATATCCTTCTGCTGTGCAAAGGAAATTCCTCCGCTTTTGTCAATTTTTGATGCCATATGATGCCATGATATATGTTGTTTTTGCCAATGTCTGGATGATTTTCCTTCACAACCAAACCCATAAATCATAGTGTTGCTTACATAATATATATTTGTATATATATAAGTATACATATATATATGTATCTCTATATATATATATACATACATACACACCATATTCACCATTTTCGTGTTTTCCTCTATCTCAATTCACTCGTACCCCCGCAATTCTGTGTATATATTGGCTTCTAACCCGCATAAAGTAGTTCGATAGATCTACCACAAACCGTGGTTCGTTTTACTAGCTATAGACCAGCTTTGAACGAACTGGGGCACCACCTTGCAGTTACAAATTGAACGTCCCAGTTTTAAAAAAAACATGAAATCTCAGTTTGTCATGGTAAAACCATCATTATACATATGTTCCATTGTCCTATTATAGTTGTTGGTTATACACCTGAAAATCCCAGTAAATCCCATTAAATCCCACTAAATAGATGAGTCAGGTATATAACCAATAACTAGGTATCATATCCATTTCTGGTTGGTGGTATACCAACCCCCTCTGAAAAAAAAATGAAAGTCAAATGGGATTATTGTTCCCAATATATGGAAACATAAAACATGTTCTAAACCACCAACCGGCTCATTGGAGTTTCCATGCAGTGGATTTCCCCCGGTCACATCTATCCTGATGTATGCGGCCCGTCATTGAGGTTATTGAGAGGTTATTGGCCCCAAAAACAATGTGGCCCGTTTCCAGTAATCTTTATTGGTTTATACACCCCTTTATATAAGTTCTTCGATATACCATAACCATGTCATGTGATTATTACCTAGATTCTATCCTGATTTCTCCTGATTGCTTATATATGGCTATGACTCAAAAAACCCTATTGGGTAAGTTCATTCATAGGTAACTTGACCCATCTCATCATCCCCATCATGGAAGATCTATATGAATAGATTACCTCATATTTTCTCCAAAGGTCATGGCTTATTAACACAACAACGTCCCGGGCACCCCGCAGGCACTGCAGCCCCGCAGGGGATCCCTTGGGCTTCCTGGCCACACCGACCAAGGGGATGCCGCTGTCGCCATCGCTGCTGCCACTGTCCACCATCACAAAGGCACCTCGAAACAAGTGCGAAATCTTGAAAATCATGGGATCATCATAGGTACAATGTGAGGCCCCCCAGTTATAAGTTGGTTTATAAGCCCCAGTAACTATAGTTAGAAGTACCATAAACCATAGTTATTGGATTTATAAACCCACTTAGCTATCTTGGGGGCCTCACATTGTAACTAATGGTAATTAATTATGATGATAATTAACTACTACTAGCTAAACAAAGGTAATTAACTAGTAACTAATGGTAATTAATTATTAGCCATTACCATTACCATTATAACCATTAGCATTAGTTACTAGTTAATTACTTACCATGATTACTATTTTGCTAACTAATGGTAATCATGGGAATATAATCACGTAATGGAACTAATGGTCATGTAACTAATCAGGTAACTATTATGAACTAATGGTCATAATTTCAAGAATTAGTGCTACTAATTCGTAATTATTGTAACACTGTGATATTTACAGTGTTGGTAACTATTGGGATTCCTATAAAACACTGGGACTAAGTTTGGGATGATAATGGGATGTTTATCATCTACCAACTGGTGCAAGATTTCTGAACCTTCCACAGTATCAACCAAGCAGCATAGTGCGATAGCATACCGAGGTATTTTGATGCTTGGACCACGGTTGCAGGCAGGGGCCCTAATAATAGGTTGGTTTAAAACCACATCTAGCTAGTTCGATATACATCAACAATGAGTCCAATCGTTCGCCTAGTCATCAAACCAACTGACTTCTTGGCAGGGGACCCTTTCCTGTGACATGCTGATTTCACCATTCCTGTTCGCATGAAACCCTAAAACCATGGCTTGAGTCAAACTTACGAGAAAAAATCATGGAAAACAAGAGGATGTTGGAAGCAAGAAGCGGGATTTGGCTTCAAATCGGAGTTCAAGGGGATTCGAATGGAATATTGATACAAGGTGGGGCCCCAGTTGATAGGTTTCGGTTGGTTGAGCTAACTCCATTAACTGTTGGGTGTAAAAACCAGCTTACCTATCTTGGGGACCAACATTGTAGCATTCATGAGTCACGAGTACCAAAAGGCCCAATTTGTGGGTATGATTCCTATCCATTCATCCATGGCCATCGTAACTAACAGTTTGCCAAGAAATTGTTTCATCCTGAGAAGCAAAACATTGATATGCCCTGTGGATCTAAATGCCTTCTTAGATAGCAACACTTGACCACTTGACCTCCCTAAATACACGATACCCAAATGAGTGCCCCAACAGGTACGGCTGGATTCCTTTTGGCATTAGGAGAGTGGTGTCTTCCATGTGATATCATATATAACATCATGATATAACATCATATCCTGAATCTTTATACATGTTCAAATCTTTATCATCTCAAAGTTCTTTCATTGTCCATTTTCATATATCCCATGACATATATATATATGTCATATCATACACACACATATATATATATATCATTTCATATATATATTTATATATATAATATCCGTTATATATCCATTATGTATCCATTGTATCCCCATGAACCCCCTCGCGTCGTTTCCCCATGGAGGCCCTCGTCGGATTCGGATCCGGGACGCTGATGGCCAAGGTGGCGGCCACCAAGACGCTCCACTGAAGATCACCTCGACGCAACGACGAAAAGGTGGCGATGTTTTACGTGATATTGAAAGCTTATACATATAATACATTAAATATATAATATACATATTTATTTTCAAACAAAAAACTAGATATAGTATATCTTATGTGTATATGTATATATATATTATGTAGATCTATGTATGTATGTATGATATGTGATATATATATATAGTCTATGTAGATCTAATGTACGCGGTGTTTGATATATATATATACATATATATATATATACATCATATGCCATTAATATATCTTTGATACGGCTATTTCCATATGTATATATATATATAATGTGTTAATATGAGTCTATATATGGAGATGTCATGGATAATGAATGGATAAGCAATGAATAATCTGAGATAGATATATGGTAATATTGGTATGATATGTTAATATTGGTTTTGAATGATATTGATAATGCAATAGTTAGGCACAATACAAAGCTTACATATGTATATGTTAGTATTAAACTCTATATCAGTATCGATACAAATTATAACCCCGTGATATTGATACGTGTATATATGTGCTGATGATGTGGGAAACCCAATGCCACAAAGCCACCATTTGGGGTAGTGCAACAAGCACCGATATAAATTGTGAAATTGGGATGGTTTATGACATTGGATTTCCCACATTATTGATATATGCTCCTATCTGCCTGTAACATATAATCTATGTGTATTTATATATAAATATATATTCACACACATCCAGTAACCAGTAAACTACACTACCTGTGAGGGAACCACATAAGTATGCGTGAAGATGTAAAATTCTACCCTTGCTGTAGCGGGTCAAATATGCACATGGGTCTGATCTAATTCCCCTAATATTAAACACCTCCTAAAAGATCCAAAATAAGTGCAAATCTCCTACTAAACTATGGTGTCTAGCACCATCTAGCACCTTTTAATACTAGAGGGAACGGATTACTGGGACTATGATATCACAAAAGACTACAAGTATCACTCACTCAGCAAATCAACAGAAGTTGCGAGCCCTTGATGGTTGGGTGTGCCTGAAAGATAATCGTTTCTAGCAAATATCCCTTCTACAATCGGCTAAACAATACATACCTAACATGTGTGTGTGTGTCTATGTTATATATATATATACACATCTATACAGGTACATACCAAAGATACATAGCCTTATTTAGATTCACTAATACACATATTACAGAATAAATGGGATATACACACGTGGGTGTTCCCCCAAGATCTGCTGTCCTGCTGTCCATACGCTGGACATAGAGCCAAGACTCCACAGGCAGATACTAGATACCATAGATTTTGATGGACACCAATTATTAACCCTAGTATATTAAGTATACTAGGATCCATATACCAGATCTATATGTAGTATATTAACCCCTGTATTGATGGACGAATTTTCACATCGATTTTTATTAGGGATAAACCATTTTTAGGACACCATGTAACTTGACCATGGCATCATGGCACATGTCAAAGATTTAGGGCCTTAGTAACCAAAAACAAAATAAACATGGTTTATGATGTTGGTAGCCTTTGCTTTTGCTATGTTTTGCAGGGCATGAAGACTTGATTTTCTTTGGGGGTTTGAGTTTCTACAAATACCCTCTGGTAATTTAACATAGCTATTGAAAATGATCATTTACAGTTGATTTACCTATTATAAATGGTGATTTTCTATAGCTATGTTAGTTTACCAGTGGGTAATTTGATATGTTGCTATCAACTGACCAATTCCATACCTAGTTTGCTCCGAGCGACTCTGTTTGGTTCCCTTGAGTTGCATCATCATCACAGCCTCAGTCGCACCGTGGCTGTCTCCAACTGTGGCTGTGGTCCTCGAAATTTGGCCCAGGGGAACCCTGAAACTTACTGGCGCTTAGTAGGGAATGGGGGATCGATCCAATCTATAATTACTATAACAATCATCATCAATCATGCCTGGCCCATTCTTTCATTCCCTACTAAGCACCAGTAAGGAAATGGCAAGGAACGATCTTTGTTCAAAACCGTCCAAAGCCATTTGTGGCGCTTTGGAGCAACCCCAATTTGGACGAAGCATGACTCGCATGAATCAAAATTCCGTGGGCTACACGGTTGTACCTCCTTCGACCGAAATGGGCATTGCGTGGCCCCAAATCATTTCATGGCTCAACACCATTCTGCCAAAAATTTGGTCATCAAATATCATCAGCTTCGAATAGTTTGATAATATCATCATATATCATTCTTAGGATTTTAGCTGGTCATCATTCATATCATTCTGCTTTCTAGAAACCATCATTCGGATAATTTGTTTGAAACCATCCTTTTGCTCAACAGGGCCAGCTCCACCATCCAATGGTTGTTGGGAAAAAAACCATCCGTCATTCTTGGTTTCATCTCTATGGTATTTTTTTCAGGTTTGCTGCTGTACTTTAAGCATATATCATATGTTTCAATGTTGTTGGCTATATGGCTATATCTAGCAAATTGTCGCATAGATATGTCCACAATGGTGGTATATTCATACCTGACGTTTAACATAGTTTTAACGATAAACATACAGTACAAAAAAATACTTTGCTTCGAGTGATCCCCACCATGACATTTCAAAACTGCTTGTTGACACCACTTTTGTCTGAAGCTTTTGTCACGGGACTTTTGCCCAACTAACTATCCCAATCATTTGTTTCACCTGGCAGGTCATTGTGCATGTCAGTCTGTCAAACAGGATATAAACATGTCAGTGGGCCATGTGAAGTAAACTCCAGAGCTCTCAACAGGTTTGCTTAAACATGACCAAACAGGCCAGTGGACCACCTGAGCCAAACAAACAAACATGCCCAAACATGTCAGCACACCGCCTGTCAAACATGTTTGTAAAAACATGACTGAAACAAGCCAGTGGACCACCTGAACCAAAGTCAAAAGCTCGCAAGCTCGTGTGTAAACTAGACAAAACCATGCCAGTGTTACTTCACCAGATCGCTGCAGCTGCAACTCTCTATTCCTCCACCAGACCTCTTCAATCAAAACCGATTAGGTCCCACAGGTAGAGCAACGTGTCAGGCCTATGCCTCCCCCGGACCTCTTCAGTCAAAACCGATTAGGTCCCACTGGCAGAGCACTGTGTCAGGATGCTTGCAATGCATCATAGACAGGCCAGGACTGCAGCCGCTCCAGCGTCGAAGCAGCTTTGGTTTCCAACTTGTCAGTCAGTTCTCGCAAGTAGGTAGGAGGGCCTCTGCGTAAAAGCTCCTCCACTTGCTCCGTGAACCCCAGCAAGATGAGATTCTTCAGTTTGCGGGCACGCGTCAGCATGACATAGATGGCTAGCCACCAGTCGGCATCCTCTAGGCCACCACCACGACGCAAATCAACCAGCACACCTCCGTCCAAAGTCAAGCCTTGCGCGCTGTAAGCAGTGCGCAGCATGCCATGCAAAAGAGGAAACTGCCAGCGAATCACTTCAATTTTCTCGGTTTCCTCGCCTAGCTTCAAATCAATTTTGAACTCTGCATGCACCAATTCCACAAAGAACAATGTCTTTGCGTCAGTTGTGTGATCGGCCACATTCTGAAACTTTTCTTCCCACGTCTGCAACAGAGCATCTTCCATGGGCGAATTCTTTCCTTTAAGTAATTTCACCCAGATACCTTTGGCCATGTAGTCCGGAAAAAAATGACAGAATCCAGGTTCCCGACGGTCCAGGCGCTTCTGATCTTCATGGTGCAAATCCACTTTCACTACCACTGCCAGTTTGTCTTTAACCAATCCAAGGTGTGGAGCCAAGACATCCGCCAGTCGCACAACCATGTTCTCGTGCACCAGTAGCATGCCTTGCAATTTGCCAGTGCGATGCGGGTTTGGAACAGTGAGCAGTTGATGTGTCAGCTGCTTGTCTATGGCTTTATTTTTTCTGGAATGCCTTTGGTCAGCAGCTTGCAAACAAAATAACGGCACATCCAGGTCTTGCGCATCTCGATTTGCCCGTTCCACCATGCTGCGAGCAATTTTCTCCCAATACATTCCAATGACGTGACGTGACCATGCTTGAACAAGTCCGTGGTTAGTTCTTTCTTGCAATTTTCGATTTTGCGAGTGCGCAGCTGAGCCAAGTGATCCTCGGACAAAGGAGCAGCAGGCGTGCACGTGCGCATGGCTGTTGTGATTTCTGGCAGGTGAGCATCCAGAAACCGCTTCGACTTCTTCAAATGAATCACTGTATCAATGGTCATCAATGGCGCCTGGGCAGCATGGTGTTCTGTCTGCACTCTGTGCGGCATTTTGCGGATCAGCTCTTCGAGATTGTCAGCTAAGGAGATCTCGTTGGCAGGCTTGATCTGCAAAAAATCACCTGCAATCAGCAAAATTGGTATGTGTCCCATGAGCTCTCCTGGGTGGAAATAGCTGGCTGGATCAAGGCCTTCATCTTGACGGGCGCGCATGCTGCGGTAAAGCATCATGTTTTCCACTGCAGCTGGCACCAAACTGATTTCATCTTGAATGACCAAAATTTTAGGCTGCCAGCGTTGTTTCATCTCTTGCTCTTTTCTCTTCAAGGCCAAATGCTTGTTGCGCAAACTGGCTACACGATACGAGCAAGCAGTATGACATGTTCGCGCGCGATAGACATCATTGGAAATGGCATCCGATTGGGCGTGGCTGAAGGTGGCAATCATGTATCGCTCTTCTTCTCCGGGTCTGGCTGGAAAAAAGCGACAAAAAACATCCAGCATGAGCTCTAAAATGATTGTCGTCTTGCCAGTGCCACCGGCGCCAATCAAAAGGCATGCGTGCTGCGCACGGTTTCGCAAAGGTGTTTTGTTCTCTTCTTCCTGTAAAGCTACATCCATTGCCTCACCAAACCATCTGCAAGCAGACACAATTGCTCCGGCGCCAGCTTGAATCCACCGGCAGACTCTTCAAACGCAGCAACCTTCCGCGCCATCGCTGCCGATGGCTTGCTAAAGGTGCGCCATTCTGCTTCTGGAATCGCGACATCACTGTTTGCAGCCAGCTCTCCTGCGCGCTCTGCGCAGTCGCTCGTAGCAGCCCGTTCCGCCGACAAGCGGCTGAGGCCCATGCTATCATTTGTCATGGCAGCGCGCTGAGCATCCAGTAGCGGCTGCGTGATCATGGGCGCTTTCTCTTTCAACCTCAGTTGTTCCCCACATTGACGTGTGGGTTTTTTGTTTTTAGTTCTGTATCCGCTCCTCCTCGTCCTCCTTCCTTCCTTCCTTCCCGTCCCTCCCTCCCTCCCTCCCTCCCTCCCTCCCTCACTCACTCACTCACACACTCACTCACTCACTCACTCACACACACAAACAAACACACACACACACTCACTCTCTCTCTCTCTCTCACTCACTCACTCACTCACTCACTTTTGCGTGGCAGGCGCCTCGTTTTGCGTGGGTGCACCGCCAAGGGGTTGGATGTACGCCCTGGCGTCCCTCGCCGTCTTTTGCGTGGCAGGCGTGGGACAATGTGCACTGCCAAGGGGTCGGATGTACGCCCTGGCGTCCCTCGGGCTCCGCCTCTTTTGCGTGGCAGGCGCGGGACCACTGCCAAGGGGTCGGATGTACGCCCTGGCGTCCCTCGGGCTCCGCGTCTTTTGCGTGGCAGGCGCGGGACAATGTGCACTGCCAAGGGGTCGGATGTACGCCCTGGCGTCCCTCGGGCTCCGCCTCTTTTGCGTGGCAGGCGTGGGACAATGTGCACTGCCAAGGGGTCGGATGTACGCCCTGGCGTCCCTCGGGCTACGCCTCTTTTGCGTGGCAGGCGTGGGACAATGTGCACTGCCAAGGGGTCGGATGTACGCCCTGGGGTTCCGCTGGCGTCCCTGGGTCTCCGCCTCTTTTGCGTGGCAGGCGTGGGACAATGTGCGCTGCCAAGGGGTCGGATGTACGCCCCGGGGTTCCGCTGGCGTCCCTGGGTCTCCGCCTCTTTTGCGTGGCAGGCGTGGGACAATGTGCACTGTCAAGGGGTCGGATGTACGCCCCGGGGTTCCGCTGGCGTCCCTGGGTCTCCGCCTCTTTTGCGTGGCAGGCGTGGGACAATGTGCACTGCCAAGGGGTCGGATGTACGCCCTGGCGTCCCTCGGGCTCCGCCTCTTTTGCGTGGCAGGCGTGGGACAATGTGCACTCCGCGTCTTTTGCGTGGCAGGCGTGGGACAATGTGCACTGCCAAGGGGTCGGATGTACGCCCTGGCGTCCCTCGGGCTCCGCGTCTTTTGCGTGGCAGGCGTGGGACAATCGGCCAAAGGGGTTGGATGTACGCCCTCACTCACTGACTGACTGACTGACTGACTGACTGAGTGACTGAGTGACTGAGTGACTGAGTGACTGAGTGACTGAGTGACTGACTCACTGACTCACTGACTCACTGACTCACTCACTGACTCACTCACTCACTCACTCACTCACTCACTCACTCACTCATCATCATCATCATCATCATCATCATCATCATCATGTGCCAGCGATGTTTACCAGCCACAGGGCATGCAGAAAGAGATCACAAAATGTGCGGCTGCGCTCGCAAGAGTGCAGAACATTACTTTGGTCAGCGGAAGTATGGTGAGCACACCATCGTTTTGATAGCGTGTCGGAAAAAAAAACATCAGAGCCTGGTGGAACTCGATGAAAGCGAAGCAACTTACTCACAAACAACTTACCCTACGTACATACATACATAGATACCTAAATACATACCTACCTACCTACCTACATACATACCACCATCGTCCCTCCATCACTCTTATCCTTCCTCTTCCCTTCTCGCTTTCTGTGCTCCGTCTAAGTCTGTTTCTTC